ATGCATGTATAAACACACGCACGCACACATGCATACACGTATGAACACACGCACGCACACATGCATGCATGTATGCACACACACCCACGCACACATGCATACACGTATGAACACATGCACGCACACGCAAACACATACACGTATGCACACACACGCACGCACACATGCATACACGTATGAACACATGCACGCACACGCAAACACATACACGTATGCACACGTACGCACGCACACATGCATACACGTATGAACGCACGCACACGCAAACACATACACGTATGAACACACGCACGCACACATGCATACACGTATAAACACACGCACGCACACGCAAAGACATACACGTATAAATGCATGCACGAACACATGCATACTCGTATGAACACACGCACGTCGTGCGTACACGTGCGCACACATACGCAAACACATACACGTATGCACAGGCGCACTCGAATGCACGCGCACGCACGAACACGCGTAAGCATGCACGAGTAATAAAGCACTCAAAGTTTGCTCAATGTTCTCCCATTTTCGTTTTGCCCGCAGTGGAGATCATACAGTCTATGCGGTTGAAGCCTGGATTACGGACTGATCATACGCTTGGCAGCAGGAGCGCGGGCGGCGGCCGCAGTGACGTCAAGTCGCTCAACGTGACTCCCTCCATGTGTATGGACTACGCCGGCCTGATTGTCATCACCTACGCTGGCTCGCACTGCGTCGAGTGTTCGAACCCGATGGAGATGCGAAATCACTTCAAGTATTGAAATACATCTCACCTTGTATCATTATATACTACACTCTGCATGCCTGCACATATACTGTTTTTTGTTTGTTTGTTTTTTTCACATATACAGTGTTTGCCCTGCATTGACACAAGCGAGGCGGGCCGCCTCACCCAAATTCTCAGCCGCCACACAGAACTTTGTCCAAAACACCGCCTCGCTGACGAAATTTTCGACAACTTGAAAAAGAGATTCAAGAGTCTCATACAACGTGTTCAGAATAGCTTAGAATGCACTAAATTGCACCATTTTTTCATAAATTTCCCCGGGGGAACCTGCCCCCCGACCCCCTAGCTTGGCCAGCACCTGCACTTGCAACTATGCACTTAGTCACTGTCTCGAGTGAGACTAATAGTCTGTTGATGTCTCACAATACGTGACCATTCCTCTGAGCTGATATGTAACAGATGCCGCTGCAGTTCACTTCTCTCCCTCACTACTACTCAAGTTGTTTGCTCGGTTTATTCCCGGTTGGCCTGCTCCCATTTCGCCTACAGCAAAATTCCCAGTTGGCCTACTCCCATTTCGCCTACAGCAAAATTTCCAGTTGGCCTACACTGATTTCGCCTACTCCTAATTCGTCTACGCTCAAAATCTACCCCATTCCCATTTCGTCTACGATCGGTTTGTTCACTAAATAATCATTTATAAATAATAAAATATGGTTATGATTGGCATACATACATAGGATAGACTACAGGAACCAGAAGAAAACATAGGTACAAATAATAAGAACACAACTTGACAAAAAACTATTTAGGAATTTTGCCATTGGTCGGTACAAAAAATTTGTGTTCATCACAGAGTACAGATAGCAACTGCAAGATGTCACTTCGAGTGCCGCGGCGTTCTGGCAGTGGCCAGTATGCTGTCGACGTGAGAATGCAGGGTCTGGGAGCAGATCTGTTTGACAAGTTTGTCCAGGCACCGACGTTCAAGACAATCTTGTCCACTTTTAAGCAGATGTGCAATGTTCTGCATCTGGATCCAAAAGGTACATGCTGCTTCCTTAGATAGTACTGGGTTTGTAATATTTTGCCCAAATAATCATTCACTAGTTGGGTCTTCCTCTTCTCCATTGTCTGCTTAAATGAGACATTTTCATGGTAGAGGTGCTAGCATTTTGAAGTCGGCTGTAATGTGGATATATATTGAAGATTTCTAGTACGGAGTAATTCCAGACCTGCAATCTTTACATTTTCACACTGGTTAGCAATGAGTTAATGACCTTGCTTGAGTTGACTAAAGCATTAAACTTTGCATTATGCAGGCATGTGATTAAAATGTATTTGAATGCAAATCGGAGAAGTGAAACAACCTTGCCTTTGAGCATAGATGCATATATTATCAAGAGCGGATAATACCGGTAGGTATACCGGAGGTATTATCCGCTCTTGATATTATGCACTACGTGACACTAAATTGGTCTATCCTATTTTAATTTACATATAAATTGCTGATAGCCATTTCGACTGTGCGACACATAAATGTGTATGCACAGTAAACTTATGTGTGCGACTTCAAGTGTAGCTAATTTTCTTCATGCTATTTCTCACTTGCAATCATTTGAACACCTCTTATTTGCCAAATTGCATATGGTGGGAATTTCTGATGATGCACGCGGGATTTCTGTACTATTTTCCTTCTGGTGTAAAATTTATGTGCGTCAGTTGACTGCCTAGGCATCTCCTGTAGATGTCTCGATAACCTCTTGTGTTGCCATCGATGAGCCATTCTTATTGCTGGGCTTCACAGACGACCCCAGCTTTTACTTGCACCTGAGGATGCGGGTGAGGTCATGGAAGGCAGAGTCAATATGGAGCAAACTGGATAAGCGAGCTGCTCACAAAGACTATAAGAAGGGAAAAGCCTGCAACAATACCAGGGTACGTGCTCACGGTGTTACAGAGATCTGCCAGACTACTGTCTTATCTTCTAAGTTGTTTGCTGCAAAAAGTCAGGAAATTTTGGTATCATTGCTGTGTGATTTTTCCTCGGCATGCAGTTAAGGTAGTTCCTCAAGTTTTTGCTATCAGTTATATGAGCCATCGGTCCTCAGCTGGTGGTAAGACCCGGCATGCTAAACATGATATTCGATGTCCCCTGTCTGCCACTGATTATAAATTCCATAGTATCGTGAACATTGCGTGATGGGTCATGGCTCTAAAAATGTTTTGTCGGTCCAGTTAAAGTCCAGAGTTATTTTTATTCTATAAAGCTGTATTGGGAAAACGAGGGCAATGATCCTGGCTTTCTCTTTCACGCTCACCGAGTTCAAACACAAAGCTTGAGAGGTCATAGCCCTTTGATTTAAACTCCATGCTGCAGAGAGAAATTATAGGGTGGAGGGGTGGAATAGGGAACCACTGAAGCTAAAAAAAAGAGTAACCCACAAATGATGCACAGAACTCTGGTTAATATCCAAGTGATGGTGGCATGTAGATCTGCTGTTAGTTTTAGAAAAAATCACAGAATTCATCCAGCCATTAAAGCCTTATTTGCATGGGATCTTTTTGGGTCTTAATAAAAAAGGCAAGTGTGTATGGAAGAGTTAGATTTTCTCGAATGATTTCGCTTATATCCAGCTTTAGGCAGATATTGAATTATCACTCTATTGTTTCTGGAGTGGAAGGAAGCGTGAGTTTACTCGCCTGCCATGTATATATATGGAAGCTAAGGCCATCCTTAAAAAATTCTATGTTTGCTGTCCTCCGACCGACCCCACGAAAATAGCGCCCCAAAAGTATTTTTTGACATTTTTGGTTCCATTATTTTTTTTTCGGTTTATTTTGTCTATATAAATATAAATATAAATATAACTCTTCTACTGGTATTCTGGAAGGTGCATATACATTCCTCATAGTTAAGACTGAAACACAAAGCATGTGTGGCAAACATGAGGACAGACTTAAAATAACTATTATGCCTCACAAAAAAAAAAACCTGCCTACCTACCCACTAAAAAAATCATGGGTCGGGGGACAGCAAACATAGAATTTTTTAAGGATGGCCTAAGTGTGTTCGCATATATGTGTGCTGCTGATACATATCTACCGGTTGTGTAATGAAAACCCCGGTTTCCCCTGCAAAGCTATCCATTTCAAAAATCTGCAAGATGTTTCATGCAAGCAGTCTGTGCTCTTAGGTCACAGGTCTTGCCTGCCGCATGCATGACTAAGCGCTGTTACATGTGTGTATGTGTGCACCAGCGTGCTGGGGAAACGTGATACCTAAATATGGTGCTGTTGAGCGCTATGTGTCAGTCATTATACCAGCCACACCGACAAAGTAAATAGAGATAAGAGATAAAATTTACCATTTTAAAAGAAATTTACATGTGTGCATGTAGTTGGAGAACTATAACCAGAGGCCTGGTTGTGTGCATATAAATATATGTTTATACAATGTTACTATTTTGTATATATATCATTTCAACTGATGTTTAAATGACATTCAGTGTAGTAATATGTGAACGTTTGATGGAGTAGAAACTTTTTTTGTAAAACTTTTTGCAGTTCAGTAGATTACTACCATGCATTACCAATTGCCTAATGTGGTGTTTGTTCAGTTTGAGGTGAACATTCTCTTTCTGGGTAAATTCCTGTTTACTTAAAAACCTTTTATTAATTATTAACTATTAATATTTAATTATTAATAATTTAATAAAATAATAATAAATAATTTATTATTAATTATTAACTGGTTACTTAATCATGAAGTATCAGCTTATGATATTAAAACAATACAAACAAGCAGTTAGGATGACCAAAGTTATTTTATAATGTATGGAATAAGTTTAATATGGAAATATAATGATTTACCATAAATCATGAAAGTTCCCGTGAAGCACACAGAAACAATGAATGAGTATGAATAGGAACAATGAATTTAAACAATAAATTAGAACAATGAATAATTAAATATCATTATTTTCTATAATTTTATTTGATTCTCAGGCGCTGATCATTGGCGGTGGTCCATGTGGGTTGAGAGCTGCCATCGAGCTAGCGCTTCTTGGTGCGAAGGTTGTTGTGGTAGAAAAAAGAGACAGGTGATTCAGATTATGTCTTTTGTGTGTTAATACGTGATGAGCGCTTGTGACTCGTGTGTGCATGTGTGACAGGACATTCATGTGTGGCATTGTGTACATGTGTGTAGGGCTGTCATTGGTATGAAATTATTTCGATTCGATTAATGATATTTTTCTTGTAGTAAAACATGATGTAGCAAAAGAAACTTTAGCAAAATATTCCAACACATGACTTCTCTTTCCTTTCCTGGACCTGAATTTAACCTTTTATCAGGCAGGCATATGAAATCTCAAAAAGATTTCTAGTGTATGGAGTATGTATATAATAAAAAAGAGCGTATGTGGAAACGATATTTTGCAGGGGTCGAAATTAGCTGTACCCCGATATCCGCGGGATAGTAGATTTTTGTGTTGGATGCCAGATTTCCAATGCTTGGTATCCCGCTTCGATAGTTAGACAAAATCGTCAAAATCGGTATAGTGGTTGTTGAGTTATCAACTTTATACGGCAGCGCATCTGAGCGAGTGCGCACGATCTGAACGGGCTCAGGCACCCTGATTCTCATCGGTCTCGCTGCTGCGTGCGTGTGTAACTGTAAATGGGAGTGTGTGTGTAAACGAGTGTTTGTATGTGAATGTGCGTGCATGTGTGAATGAGCGTGCGTGCGTGAATGAGCGTGCGTGCGTAAATAAGTGTTTGTATGTGAATGAGCGTGTGTGCGTGAATGAGCGTGCATGTGTGAATGAGCGTGCGTGCATAAATGATTGATTCTATGTAAATGAGCGTGCGTGCATAAATGATTGTTTATAATGTGAATGAGCGTGCATGCGTGCATGAGCGTGCGTGCATAAATGATTGTTTCTATGTGAATGAGCGTACATGTGTGAATGAGCGTGCATGCATAAATGATTGTTTCTATGTGAATGAGCGTGTGTGCGTGCGTGAATGAGAGCGTGTGTGTGTGTTTGTGGAGCGTGGGGATAGTTAATGTCACCCGTACGTGTGGCACCCGTTCTCTGAACTTCTCTCACACACGTCGTTCACTGCTCAGGACATGTTGTTACGGCAGCAGCAGCACCGTCACCACCACCAGCAGCAGCAGCAGCAGCACCGCCACCACCACCACCAGCAGCAGCAGCAGCACCGCCACCACCACCACCAGCAGCAGCAGCAGCAGCATCAGCAACAGCAATAGTAGCAGCAGTAGTAGCAGCAGCAACAGCAGCATCAGCAGCAGCAGCAGCAGCAGCAGCAGCAGCAGCAGCAGCAGCAGCAGCACCAGCAGCAGCAGCAGTAGCAGCAGTAGCAGCAGTGAAGCCTGGCTTGCCAAGGTTGAAACCAAAACGTACATCTGGCCAGCCAATGGAGCAGGCTAAATGGTAAGCACACACATTCATCTGTGAAGGAGTACACTGCGTATCAGTCAACGATGATTACCACCTTAGTGTCGGCATGTGGCGGACTAGCCGGCTGTGAAATCCGTGTACAAAGCTTAAGACAACGTTTTTGTAGCGAGAGTAAATGTCACGGTCTCTGTCTGTATGATGCGAACATGCAGCAGGCTTTCACAGGAAAATCTATAACTTGTCGTGATGCGTCTGTAACGTGTCGTGACACGTCTATAACGTGTCGTGACGCGTCTGTAACACGTCGCGCGTCTATAACGTGTTATCACACGTCTATAACGTGTCGTGACGCGTCTATAACGTGTCGTCGCACGTCTATAACGTGTCGTGACGCATCTATAACGTGTCGTCACGTGTCTATAACGTGTCGTCGCACGTCTATAACGTGTCATCACGCATCTATAACGTGTTATCACGCATCTATAACAACATGTCGTCGTGCGTCTATAACATGTCGTCACGTGTCTATAACGTGTCGTGACGCATCTGTAACGTGTCATCACGCGTTGTAGGCTGCGGCTGCAGTTTGTTCCGGACTCGAAGAGCGCCGTGATGTTCAGCGACATCGATGGCTTCATCAAGCGACAGTTTGGCAGCAGCGCGCCGACGGGGGTCAACCTGACCAAGGTCGTGGCCCTTGCCTTCCCCAGCGTGACCTTGAGGCAGCAGAAACTGTCGCCGGGCAACTACCGCTCGTTCTTTCACGGCATCTTGTGTTTGAGTGTATGTGTGATGGTGTTGTGTGTATGTGAGTGCTTGCATGCGTGTATGTGTGTGTGTGTGTATGTGAGTGCTTGCATGCTTGTGCTCCATGCGTTCCTTCTTACTATGCCATGTGGTAGCATCTGTGCAATGTCAAGAGAGGTTTATCAGTCGTAGGCTTTCGTGACAGGGTCCTCCTGGGGATTGCACAGAAGATACAGTTGGTAGCAGTACCTTTTTTGTCAGCTCTGCCATTTCTGAATTATCGATTGATTCTATTAACTGTCAATTGTGTTTTTATTAGCACGTCAATGAATCTTTCCTGCACCTAAAATCATGTTGACGTTTTTTCGGTATGAATGTGACAGCACTGTGTGACGACGACTAACCGTCTCCGGTTGTCATGCAGGTTCTCCCGCAATAATGTGCTGCATCTGTGGCCGATGGTCATACATGACCTGAAGATGCTCGCCGCGAAGAAATTCTTCGGCAAGTTCTGTGCCGGCTCTATAGACCACATCAGTAAGTATGCATTGATGCTTACTGTACTTGGGAGGGAACACACATCATAATTAATTACCCTCTATGTGGCATGCGACTGCCCTGTCCGTATTTCACTTATGTGTGAGGTTGTTTTGCCCCAGCCGTGTTTTGTGAATTATGTGGTTGTGAAGATTATGTGTGATATTTGCTAATCGACACAAACAACAAAGTAAGGGCTGTATATAATTTTCTTATAGATCTTATATATATACTCGCATACAAATTGCACACACACACACACACAAACACACGCACGCACGCACGCGCGCACACACACACACACACACACACACACACATCCCCACACACACACACACTTATCGTCTAACCCGCTTTGCCACGTTTCACTACATGCCTCGTCTCTTGTACGTTCAGCATGCTGACTTAGCTATACACCATGTGTGCTACAGTAACGGCACGGCGTGACATGCCTGAAACATTTTAGTAAACGAATGTGAAGTTTGTACATTGCCTGCAAGGTGGTAAAATGCTTTTGTATAAACAATTTAATTGTCTAAACGATTAATAACAAAATTAAATCGTAAATCGGGTAAATCAATACGTAATTTTCTCATGATGAAGCAGAACTTTTTTTTAAGGCACTAGGCATACAATCGCTACATACGTATTTTGCGCGCGGTAGAAATGAACAGCCTTCCCATGAGTGGCGTTTCCACGCGCTGTTGCTGAATGATTGTTTAAGCGGGGGACACACCATACGAATTTATTCGCACGTCTGCAGCGATTGTAAAATCGCAGCAAAATTTGCATGATGCGTCTGCTCGAGCGCGGGCGAATTTCATCCGCACCTAAACTCGCAGCGATCAAACATGTTTGATATTTTCGCTGCGGACGTGCGGACGTGCGAATAAATTCGCATGGTGTGTCCCAGGCTTTACCGCGATGAGCGAGCATGTCGCGTGCACGTTGCCATGGCGCTCAGCCTCTTCCCTCGCTCACGCAGGTGCATCGGCGGAAGAAGGTGCTGGCGACGTCGTGTCGTATCTGTGAGAAGGCGTTCTCCTCGCAGGAGAAGTTCGTGTGTCACATGAAGATGACTCACGTTAAAGGAGAGATGCCGTATCGCTGCAGTAGCTGCGGATTCCGATCCTCCTTCCACAGCGATGTCCTCGACCACTTCAAGCGGGTACGTACGTACGCGTAACAATATGCGCGTGGTTTATTACGGTGCTGCCACCTACTTTGTTCACTGCCCAGCAGGTGCTGGGCAGCGACGATGGCCCCAGAGCAGGTACGGCCAGAGTGGCGCCCCCTGTCGTCGGACGTGCTCCGCGCACGCATCTCAGTCTTCGCCGAAATTATTCGGTTGTCGAAGTGTGTGCGGCCTGCAAAATTTGTGCAGGGTTAAAAGATTTTTGGTTGGTTGTGAACCTGCGCATCCGTTCAAAATGTTCTGGGTGAAAAGATTTCTGATTGGCTACAATCTATGCGACCAGTTGGAACATTCATGATGAAAGTGTTTCTGGTTGGCTGTGATCCGTGTGACATTGAAATGTTTCTGATAAAAACATTTTTCATTGAAAAACATGTCACCTTGCAACCAATCAAAATATTCCCGACAAAAATATTTCCGGTTTTCTGCCACCCGTGCGACAATTGAAAATATTCCCCCAAGAAAGATTTTGTCGTATAGCCTATAGCTGACTTATGGGCCACAGTTTTATGGATAGGAATTACATTTACGAAGAAAAGAGTTGGTTGCAATCTTGCCTCACTGCCAATCCTACCATTAACGGTTGTCCATGTCAGGAAACATTTAGGGACCATCCTTATAAACCATTTGGCATTCCTTATCATTTCCCCACGAATTAGGTTAATTAATTAGGTTTTAATTAGGTTAATAAGGAGATATGTAAAGAAGTTATTTTCATGCCATCTTCCCAGACAGCCTGGGTTGACGTCATACTCATATAATAGCAACACGGTGCCTAATGTTGTACTGGAGAGACAAGGTGGTGGTGCCATCGTTCAGTAACGGTATTGTATGTGTGACAGGAATACCCAAGAGCAATAGTCCCACCGCTGCACTGATCTCTCCCGTCAAGGGAACATTCTACTACAGCCGCAAGCAAGGCGACCCGAACCATGTCGATGACACGCTCTGCACACCAGTGAAGGTAGGATCGCGTGACGTCACGCGTGCGTGTCTTCCACATGCGATTGACGTCCCCATCAATGTCTCTCCATAATTGCTAGCTGGTTGTCTTGCGTTAGAGGAGAGGGTGCTCAACCTCTCACTCTGTATCTCTCCCCCTTCTCTCTCTGTCTGTGTGTGTCTCTATCTGTCTGTCTCTCTTCCTTTCTCTATTAGTCGCTCTCTGTGAGACTGCCAATGATGCCACGTACCTGTATTGTCACACAGTGCTGCCTGTGTCAATGATCTCACCACATACCTGTATTGTCACACACATTGCTACCTATGTCAGTGATGTCACCACGTACCTGTATTGTCACACACATTGCTACCTATGTCAGTGATGTCACCACGTACCTGTATTGTCACACACAGTGCTGCCTGTGTCAGTGATGTCACCACGTACCTGTATTGTCACACACATTGCTACCTATGTCAGTGATGTCACCACGTACCTGTATTGTCATCACTGAATACATTAACATGGCATTAATAACCATCACCTTGCAAGTAGACTTGGTGACTACATAACCATCAAATTCTGCTTGACATATGTTGCACACCTATTCTCTCTCACTTGCTCAGGCATACGTCAGACTCAGGTCATTCTACTCAAGGTTGCGCTGCTTCTTGGCATTGAGTTCCATGCGAACACAGCCTTTGAGCAGGTCATCGAACCACCTGAGGATCAAAGTAAGAGTGAGTGGCCATCACACATGAAGCCACCCACACACAGCTGCTGTTATTATAAGATCGTGCTATCTGTAGGAGTCCTTTTATCATGGCTTCCATCACCAAGCGTTATAATAAAAGCATGTATTTCTAGTCTGCTGCCGAGAAATGCGTGAAACTCGGGCAGGTGGCAGTGGAATTAAAGCAGCTAATTTGAGGTTCTGAATTTCTGAAAGTTTAGTTACCTCACCGGCACCTATTGCAACTATTACTTGTGATTTAAATGAATTTTCATGAGATTTTCTCATTCATGTGATGCAGTACTGACGTGTATTTGAAGTTCTTAATAATTTAATGCTTTCTTTACATTTTTACATTGTTTTCCCTAATATATAGAAGTAGGCTGGAGAGCTCAACTGTCACCAAAGGACCATCCCATCAATGACTATCAGTTTGACGTCATAATTGGTGCAGATGGCAAACGCAATACTCTAAGAGGTTAGTGATCATGCTTGTTTTTTCCCCCTGCCCCGGCCTCTCTTACTTCTTATATCCCACCCACCAGGCCCCTCCGTCCTTCCCTCCCGTTCCTTCCCTGGTTTCAATCTCTGTTCCTCCCTCTTTTTCCATTCCTCACCCCCGTTTTTTATATCTCTCTTTTCCTTCCTACCTCCCACTTGCCCATATGATACACCATCACTCCCCACCAAAATATTGCTTATGGTGATTCAGTTGATATCTGTTACGGAAAATTGAATATAAGAATATTCTTCTATGTTTTAGCCATGTTTTTTCAGGGTTCAAGCGTAAAGAGTTTCGAGGGAAGCTGGCCATCGCTGTAACGGCTAACTTTATCAACCGGCACAGCTACGATGAAAACATTGTGGAAGAAATATCTGGCGTGGCATTCATCTTTAACCAGAAATTCTTTATTGGTACGTTTCATGTAAAACTAGCCAAATTATAAGCAGTAGGAAGACTGGAGGGTTTGAATACTTCGATTAAGTACCACTAAATCATCCTCTGTTGTTATTACCAGAAAAAAATAATATAATTGTATGAAAATAAAAAGCAATCGATCCGAAAGGACATGACTCAATAATTTGCATCATTTATCATTCATTTTTGCTTAACCTTGTACAGCTGGTAGCCTGGTAGGTAATACAGCTACGTAGTTAACTGTATTTGTGTTTATTTTCGTGGCAGACATGAGACTAGCAACGGATATAGACCTGGAGAATATAGTGTACTACAAGGATGACACACACTACTTTGTGATGACCGCGAAAAAGCAAAGTTTACTTCGGAGGGGAGTCATTCGCAAGGTACGTGGCATGGTGTTTTTGCATGTTGTTATCACAATATACATGTTACGGTGAGTGGATGAATATCCACTTGGGTATCTATCCACTCTACAAGCTTGGGAAATTTACTTGTTAGAAGCCCACCTCTGTTCTACAACGATGATGCTACGACTCTTTGTTGAAATTACTTTGCCAAGTGTCAGTCAATTATTAATGCTGCTACATGGCTGGTTCTTCTGATGATCTGACCGAGCCCACACACTCGTCCAATAATGAAAATGGGATATGAAAAGTGGTGTTGAAATATTGTGTGTGATTGTTTTTTTCATCTTGATGTGTGCTTCATAAATGGTTTGAAGTTAATCCATTATTATATATACATCTTCATGCTGCAGCTCCTGATTGTTAGGGGTATTTACACACTGTGACATTGATGTGATATCTGTCAGCACTCGCTGATATGTGAGCGAGTCGTCACAGGTGACACTTCTCTCATCTTTTGTGAGGCCGTCCTTACAGTTGACTTTTGGTCACCGCTCATGAGACAATCATCATGGGTGATAATGCTCCCCTATCACACGTGACAATCATCACAGTGGCAAATTTTACCTCCTATGTGACACTGCCATGGCAGGTGTCACTTGTCACCCGTTACATCAGACAACCATTACAGGTGACAATTTTCCCCTCATACGTGCGGCAATCATCACAGTTGCAACTTATCACCTCTTATGCAACAATGCTATTGCAGGTCACAGTTGTCATCTCTCACATGAGAGAGCGATCCCTGGTGATATTTTTTCAACACCTATGTTACCCAGCCATTGCAAGTGACACGATTGTTCCCTCACGCGCGCAAGGCGTGCATTGCGCGTCACACGTTGATCACCGATGCTCACTTCTTCAACAGGACTACAGCGACACGGAAATGCTGCTGTCACGCGACAACGTTGACCAGGCGGCGCTCATGGACTACGCTCGCGACGCCTCCTCATTCGCCGTTAACTACGCGCTGCCGCGTCTCGACTTTGCGCTGAACCAATACGGCGAGCCGGACGTCGCCATGTTTGATTTCACGAGCATGTACCAGGCCGAGCACGCCGCGCGAGTCGTAGAGAGACACGGCCACAAGCTGCTGATGGCTCTCGTCGGTGACAGCCTGCTCGAGGTACACACACATCCAGCCGATGATCCCGACGCGAAGACGCGCGAATCGCATGAGCGCGTTTGTTCCGGGCGGATAGAAGCGCGGTCACTATTGTATCGGTCTCGGGGACGGATACGAGAGAGGGAAGACTGCAGTAGCGTGATTTTGTGTGAAGTCTAGATTGAGGAGAATTCCTATGCAAATGAACAGTTTCCATGATTTTCTGTTGGCTTATTTGTTCCAAATTTGATGTCGGCTGCAGATACGCTTACGTCAAGCTAATTCATGTGTAATACATTTCAATAAATTCCTAGTATGTATATCAGCTACTTATTATTAAATAGTAGCATTTCATCTGTGGGAACCTGATGGGAATATGGTACGCCTCTCATTCTGATTCATGGTCTACTTTGCAAGTTGTTCTTCCATGCGTTCTCCACGGTGCATTCTAATAACTGCTGTGCTTTGCATTGACGCTCGCCGCATCTCTGTTGCAGCCGTTCTGGCCGACGGGATCCGGCTGCGCCCGGGGCTTTCTGGGCGTGTTCGACGCATGCTGGATGGTGCAGCGCTGGTGCTCAGGAAAACTCACCCCTCTTCAGGTACGCCTCGCCTCGGCCACCGATCTCGCTCGCTCGCCTGCCGCCAACCTGTCGTCAGCTACTCGGTTCTTTAACCTACAAAATGAAATTATGTCAATGACACGTGTTCGGCAGACCTGCTCGGCTGTTGCTCGATCTCTCCTTCTGTCTCAACTATCATTCTCCGTCATTAATATGTTATTACAGTCGATTCTGTGTTAGTGGTCACTTTTACTGTAACCCGTTTGCATTTTCCTTTGAGCTACCGTAATTTGTTTGATGGTATTATTATTTCTATTATCATAATTACTTTCAGCAGTGTTCGATAAGCAGTAGGGCTAGAGTGACTGGCCGAATAGCTTCTCTATCATGTCTATTGATCTTCATCATAATTACATTTGTCATGCTTCCTGCAGGTGTTGGCTGAAAGAGAGGCTTCGTATCGTTTGCTGGCTCAGACGAAACCTGCCAATCTGCACAAGAATTTTGATCGCTATGCGCTAGACCCGGCGTCGCGCTATCCCAACTTTAACGTTAATGTAAGTTTCAAATCGTCATACGTTTACTGCGTGGTAAATTTGTTCGTGAAGGGTTGAGCATGGCAGGAGAGGTGTCGATATTTAGATGGTTCAAAATTTGAGTGGCTTTCCTGTGGAGATTGTGTGAGCAGCCAATTATAAGCTAGGTACCAATGACAAGATTTCTTCTTCATGATTGTGGACAGGAGTGCATAGATAGTACGTGTTGACTCATGCCAGGTCATGGCAGGGTTGAATAAAAGTTGACTGCGAGATTCGTTAAGACATGTTCCTACTTGTCTGTATTCAGAAAATATGCAACCAACCACACAATCAAAAGCAACAGCAAAAACTTATGTCTAGCACAGGATACACTGTGGTTTCTACGGCATAAAATCAATAAAGCTGTGTACGTATCAGTAACCTGTACAGTGTAGGGCTACATGAAATTGCTATTAGTCCAATTAATGTCATGTTAGGTTAGATCTAGTGACCATCATGGCTCCAGGATAGGGTTATTTGTTCAAATGTTTAATTATTTACTATTGCCTTACTAGAAACCATTAACGTTAGTGTCTCAGAGTCCATGATGGCATCATTCTATGACTTGTAAAAATAACAACCATGAATGTAAATACAGGGTTAATTGGGTTTTGATAGTGAAACACCTTTGATAAACAATATGTAAGATATATTTAGTAGTTACCAAATGCATAACATACTCAGTTGCAGATTGATACAATCACTCACAATTCTGATTGCATACTTGACTAGTATATAGGCGCATAGCGCACCCGAGGCAATTCATTCCCGATTGCTAATTGGAGTCGTATGTTGTAAATGGCCCCAATACACAGGTAAACTGGATCGGTTCGAAGACGTATACATCATCGTGTTAAAACACGGCATGACTGTGTTGGGATTTCAGAAGTAAACACAGCTTGAAATTTAGGCATGTCGATTAGGCAAGTAAGGTAAGTCAGAAGATTGATGGGATGTCACAAATTAGCTTCAGCTATGAAGGCATGTCAAGTCTGACGTGTGGTGAAGAGCGGGAAAACCCGTGCAGAAGTACGGATATGATTGCTTACTCGTGTCATGTGTACGTTTTTACGTACTTGCAGGCAGTCGTGGCACGTCAGGTGAGGTCGCTCTACGATGCAGGTGAGACAGGCTACACAGATCAGATCGTTGAGCTAACGGAGTCTGCACCAAAACGCCTGAAGACTGAAACCACCACCACGATGCAGGTGAGTGATGTGAACTCGTACCCGTTTGTATCTATTGTTGCAGAGACCGTATGTTAAATGGTTAACAACATATATAACAACCTTGATAAATCTGTTGCGCATCAGCTGTGACAAAAATCTTACTATGTCGTTAGTCGATGACAACTCGATTGCTGATGCTTACAGACATGTCTTTAAACACGAAACCAAATTCATTCGACAGATTGACAGGCTATTGGGATGGTGCCAGGAGCAGGTCGAAGGTTACGATGGGGTCACGGTTGAGAACATGAGCAGCTCCTGGCGAAGTGGCATTGCCCTATCGGCGATCATCCATCGCTACCGACCCAACATCATGTAAGTTCTGCCTCACAATTGCCATCTGCCATCTTTATCACAGAGATAGACTCCCCCCACCCTAATTATATGTGTAAGAATCTACATGTATAACCCCTCCCCACTTGTTCTCATTTATTGACTGATATTATTACTACGTTGGCTATGACATAGTTTGGTATCCCAGAGGTGTGACAGCCTACTGCAGTTATGTGATGTGTAGATAGTTAACTCAGTATGCATGCTAACTGATTCATCCACATTCTACTGTTTAACTAGCAGCATGTGATTGGCTCTTTCTCTCTCAGCATCTCTACTGTAATATTGAGCAGCTCCTGGCAGTTAGTGGTGAAGTTGCCGCTTTTTTTCAGCGATCTCGCATCATTGTCGGAAAACGAAGTGGAAAAAAACAACCAGGCAGCGTTCGATATCGCAGAACGGGAATTTGGCATTAGGCCAATTATGACAGGTACTCTAGTTAATATATGCTTTACAGATCACTGAGCTTACCACATACTGCTTAGCATCGCATATACGCTGATGGGATTAGTTTCATTATGAATCTACAAGGAAACACGATCATATAAACCGATCAGTCGCCATTAATACTTCTTACGTTGTCAGGGATAAGTCTCAGTAGCAGTTTTTCGACACTACTACAGGGCTTGATATTAGCCAAAATGTGAACAGGCCCACCCAAAATTTTAAACAGGCCCTTAGACAAATTGAACAGGCCCTTGCAAGTTTGAACAGGCCCTTAATTTTGTTCGGTTTATTCTATTATTAATAAAAGTATTATCTTTGTGTTTATTAGGCATACTCGTAGTATTTCAGTATTTCATTGCTATCAGTGGAGTTCTACTTGTTTGACAGGAATTGGTGGAACATGATTTACTTCGTAGTAGGCTCTAAGTAAAAACTAGTCAGGAAATTGGTAAATATTGTCGATATAAAGGCAAGATAGGTAAAATTTTGAATAGGCCAAGTGGACTAATTAATATATGGGGTGTTGAACCGGCAGTTTAGGGGGTTGAACCGGCGGCCACCGGCAAAATAGCACGCACTGCTACTACTACTAGCTCAATAGACAGTAGCCAATAGAACCACTGCCGTGCCAGACATCCTATTTTGTCAGTTTTTATTTTATTTGGGATTTCCCATGTTACTTCTACAATCATGTTCTATGTGGTGTGAGTGCTGAAGTAACGGGTGAGTGTTGATTGCAGGGTCTGAGATGGCGGACGGCGATGCACCTGACCCACTGAAGGTGACTGCATACCTCTGGCAGCTGTACGAGTTCTTCTGCAATGAGTTGCCGTGGAGCGAAGGCCAGGTGGATGAGCGGCCGGCCGGACGGCGACACAGTAGCCGTGGGTCAATCTCCAGTCGTCTCAATGTGCTCAGCAAGCTCAACGCGAGGTACCGCTTCGTACTGTACGGCAGCCATAAAACTACATACGATACTCGCAAACTCAAGAACGAGAACAATGATACAATGATAGTTATCAGTTCATTTACAATCTAGTCTGTGTTAGTGGTTGCAATGAACTCCAGGATAATGATACAGTGATAAGTATCAGTTCATTTAATCTGTGTTAGCGGTCACCTCTGCGATACAGCCAGCTGTCTGTAATGGAGGTTTTGTTAGCATGTCCCTAGAGTGGGAGTTATACAGTGCAACGCAGCTGTTATGAGAAGTCATCTTGTTTCTTATCAGGCGACAGCACGCGCGCGAGAAGACGCAGGACACGCTGAAGACGCCGCTGCAGGGGATGGACGACAGCAAGCGGCAGCGCTCCCTGGAGGTTGCACTGCAGCGCTTTCAGGCTCACCAGGAGCTGGAGGCAGCGAGGCAGGAGAAGCAGGGCAGGATTCGCCGTGAGCTGAAGGAGCTGGCGAATAATTCAAAGGTGCCGGTGCGGGAACGCCGCATCCCCGGACTCACGGAACCGCTGGTAAGCCATCCACTCTTTCTTCGTTATAGAATTACTAGTAGGGTGCCTCCCTCCACTTCGTTTTTCCCGTGCAGAATTGTGGGCAGGCTACCCGTTACTTCCCCCTGCAGAGCTGCTTACATTCTATCCACTTCCTTCGCCTTTCCCCCTACAGTTCTGCTGGTAGATTGCCCTATCCCTTTCCCTTTTCTCCCCTACTGAAGAACTGCTGGTGGGCTACCCATTCTCTTCTCTTCTCATCCCTTGCTGAACTGCTGGTAGGCTACCCCTTCTTTTCCCCATATCTTCTCCCTATAAAACCACTAGTAGGCTATCTAGTAGCCCTTCCTAAGAACTGTTGCTGAAGTATACACCTCTCTCACTATGTACAGTACCTGGCAAACTCAACTTCCTGCTAATTAGGTGGGCAATAATATAACTAATTGCATCATTGTTTTCTGTACCGAAACCAATCACAACTTGATTTGTTGTATATTTAACCCTGTATTTTCGAAATCCGATCTAATAACCATTACTGATTGAATGCTGTTCCATGCACAACATCTCTACAGCCATGCATAATGAAGGAGCCGGCCAAGCCTAAACCTGACGAGGACCTTGCTGCCCGCAGGGAGCAACTGCGGCGCCGCCTGGAGTCTGACAAGGAAGATAGACTGACGCAGAGCCAGCGAGAGTTTGTGCTCGCACAGAAAGGACAGGCATTTACAAATGCTCAACTGTCATCTACCATCGAGATACGGGTAGGATTACATCACTTACTGTCCGCGTGTTAGTCCTCTCCCTTTCCTCACTTTCGTCAACTTTCTTTCACTGCTTGGGTTTATCCCATGACAGGGCTTGGACCTCATCCTATGAAAGTCCCATGTCTTTCAGCTCAATCTTTAGTGATTGTCTCCAGACCTTACCATTTGCACTTCCCTTGGTATATATAACTTGGGTATTCGATCTTTAGCCATCTGATCCTGTGCATCAGTTTTCATGACAATAAAGATTTAAGTTCATATATAGCAATGTCTATTACAACAGTGATAACTAAAGTAATATAGCAGCAGTAGAATATGTAGTACTCTACTGTCACTTACCCTCTCAGCAGCTGATATATTTAGGAATAGGGGCATTGACGGACTGCCATGAATTCATGTGGTGAGTTTCATGATATTTTTCTAGTACTCAATGCCCACAGTACTGTTTTAGTCGTCTACATGTTTCTCACTGTCTCAGAGTGAGATGCAGTTCTATCTTGCCAGATGTCATTGGTGCACGTTACTCAATATTAAGCCTAGCCAGCACTCAGGAGTCTCACCATCCCTCATCTGGTGTTCTCACCTTTACCTGATGTCCTCACAATGTGCCTGCAGGATGGAGACATTCAGTTCCGACGAGACGAGACGGTGGAGCGGGCAGACCAGACGATGCGAGAGATAGATCGTCGTTTGAATGACCCGGGCAGCTGCGACACGGGTCAGCGCGGCTCCGGACTGGTCGGCGCCATGGCCCAGTCTCTTATGCAGAACCTCAGGTCTACGCACAACATACCCAGAGCCGTAAGCATAACCCATGCAATGTCGTGTAAACGCACTCCGGTCCATCTGTGCGTGATTAGTGCGAATAGTGGAACGAGTGATCGAACGTGTTTGCTGTTAATTATTGGGCTGGCATAATTGCAGCTGCTATTTCGATAATCGACTGCTGTTACTTCGATGGTTGTTACTGGTTGACTTACATGTAGTAGTTATGTGCATGCACTGTGCATTGATTGGACGTGACCACCTTTGCAGCAGAAGCACGTGCCCACTGTGAGTCATAAGCGGGACTGCTACTTCTGTGAGCAGCGGCTCTACGTCATGGAGCAGTGCGGTGCGCAGGGCCTGTTCTTCCACCGTGAGTGTCTGACTTGCTACTCCTGTGGTCGCCGCCTCCACCTGGGTAACTATGCCTACGATGGCACACCTAACGAGCCAGGTGAGTATTCAGCAACTAGGTGTGCGTATGTGTGTGTGTGTGTGTGTGTGTGTGTGTGTGCGGGTGTGTGTGTGTGTGTGTGTGTGTGTGTGTGTGTTTGTGTGTATGTGTTTGTTTGTTCGTGTTTTGTTGGTAGGTTTTTTTTGGTTTCTTTTTTTTTTTTTGTTTTTGGTTTTCGGTTTTTTTTTTTTGGTTCGTTTATTTTCTGTGGTGATGGTGCTGTTTTGCTTGTGTTTTTTTTCCTCCTTTTTGTATTATCTTGATAATACCTATCTTAATATTATACATTTATTGTGTTATTCATTGGCCAAAATACAATAAAGTAATACAGTTCAAGGATAATAGTCATAATACTATTTATTAAAGTGATCTATCTGACGCTGAGCTGTTTGCTCGCCGTGTGTGCCCCCCCCCCCCTTCACTGAGAGTGGGTTGAATGTATTTCCCCGGAACCGAAACGAAAAAAAAAACGAAAACCGAACCAAACGGGATGTACCGCGATACAGTTGAATCGCGGTTAGTCGTTACACCCCTAATAGTATGTGAGGCATCTATGGTGCAGCGCTTTTTACGTACAGATGCGCTTTTTTGTATGCAAATCATTTGACGTGATTGTAATTATTTTTCGTACACTGTGTTTCAGGACGTTTCTATTGCAAGTCCCATTACGGTTTGCCTCCTGATCCCCAGCTGAGCATAGATATACTAGACAGTAGCAGGGAAGTTGATTTTAGAACATCCACCCCCACGTCGCTGGCAGTGCCAACAGGTAATGTATTACCACAATCAATTAATGTATCTTGCCACTGCTGTGCCTCTTAAAAACACAAGTTGTAAACTGTCACAGCAATTATCTAGTATAATCAAGCTATCAATTTATTGGTTTATTTTGCCTGCTGTTGGCTATTCCCATAACCACTATGTGAATTTGCATAAGGTTTTACTTTGCATGGAATTTACGTGTGAAGTTGGATAAGCATATCAGAGGGATTACGCCGCTTTTGTTCAGGCACTGTGCTAGGGCGTGGCCTGACTCCAGAAAGAGTGGAGTTTGAGAGCATGAGGGAGCAGCTGCTCAAGGGAACCGAAGAGGATCTCGAAGCAAGCTTTCTGCAGTACAACACTGGCAGCACCAACCCTACTAGTCTGTGTAGCGGCACCAGCGGTGATGAGTGAGTGTAGTATCGTGGCTGTCGTCATGTGGAAATTGATTGCTTTTACTTTTAGTTGCAATGTATAATTGTTGCTTATAGGTGCCATGGAGCCAGCATGATCATACTGACCAACTGAATGCATTGCTATTGAATCTGTCTGCACAGTTACCGAATGCTGGTTTTCAGGTTGTAAGCGGTATTTTTTTGGGTTTCAGTTTGTCAAGCGAAGACTCTGATGACACTGAGGGGGAGTACTACTCTGACAGTGTTTTGTCTAATCGCAAGATCACCGAGAACCAGGTGAAGAAGGTGGTGAAGACCTTTACAAAGCAGCTCTATCAGCAAGGTATCTTTTACCAGCAAGGAGACTAATGAACCTATCACTCTTCTCCCGTGTGTGTGTGTGTGCGTGTGCGTGTGCGTGTGTGTGTGTGTGCATGTGCGTGTGCGTGTGTGTGTGTGTGCGTGCGTGCGTGCCTCACAGGGTGAAGCTGCACTCTAGCATATTGCTGCTTATGTTCATGTTGCTAGTTGCCAAATATTTATGTGGGTGGGCATATGGATTGAAACTGGTTAAATGAGTGATGAACCCAGGGTCCATGAAGCTGCCATGAAGAAATTTTTTTACATAGTGATTAGTGTAAGGAGATGACTAAAAATCCAACATCAGTGCAGCGAAGTCACTGACTGGATTTGAGAGAATTTAAGTGATTCTTTAAATATATTCGACATTGGATTCGAGAATAAGTCGAGATTGGTTTCAATAGGGAAAATGAATATCATTGATTAATGATATTATTACTGACGAAATCGCCAGGAAATTCGTACTACGCACGTTCACACGTTTTTATCTTGCAGACGAGGACTCGACAGAGGACAGCGACGACACGTCCAGCTGCGAGGACGAGGTATTCAGGTCGGAGCTGGAGTGCCTCGCCCCCCTCGACCTCGCGCCGCGTCCCGCCCGCCTCCGCAAGACCATCGACCGCTCCTGGCTCGTGCAGTCGCGCATAGCCACCGCCAGGAGGCGCCAGGAGCAGCAGCGGGCCGAGCGCGAGGCGATCATCATCGGCGAGGCGCCGGAGCCGCGCGGCGAGGACGACGTTGCCGCGGCGACGATCATCATCGAGGAGCCGGAGGTGGCGCGCGTGATGCGCCGGCAGAAGGACCAGCGGCTGCTGCTCGAGCAGCACAAGCGGCTGTCGCTGGGCGTCGACGAGAGCGAGAGCCGACGCGAGCTGAGCCGCGAGCTGAGCGAGATGAACCAGCGCATCATGGCGTCGCGCTCGTCCTGGCTGCTGCAGCCTGACGTCGCGCCGCCCGCGGCGACCGCCGAGGAGAGCAGGCGCGACGACCGGCCGTCGGACAGGAAGTCCCGCGACAGCTTCGACCGCGGCGTGAAGGGTATCCCGCTGGGGAATGCTCCCCCTGCTGTTGAGGAGAACCACCTGAACAGGATGTACGTGGACACGCTTGCGCGCAGAACGGTGTCACTACCTCAGGAGGAAGGATCAGACAGTCACCTTGAAGAGGAGTCGGAGGAGGAGGAGGCCGAGGAGAGAGAAATCATAATCATTGAGGATGGCAATAAGGTGGTTGGACTTGACGATCACTCGACAGGGGTGATACTGCTCGCAAGTCCAAAAGAGAATGAAACCGATGATATGGAGGAGCCGTCAAAGGAAAAGGAAGAAGAGGAGGAGACAATGGAACCCACACCGAAGGTGTTGGTTAGGAGTCCGAGGTCTCATGACTCTGAAGACAGCTTTACGATATCCATTGCTTCTTCGGTCGAGTCACTCACCTTGGAGAAGCCAGTCACTTCCATGGTATCACACGACGCCGACGATACTGTAGGAGAAGTCGACAAAGGACAGATTGCTTCTCTCGAAACAGAGCCTGGCGAAAGCCCGAAGAAAAGTGGCAGCAATCTTGAAGAGGAGGCAGATTCTAGCGGCGATCTGTTTGCTCGTGAGTCGGACACCAGCTTCGACTTGGGTGTCAAGGGGCGTCCCCTGAAAGTGAGCAGTGATAAAAGCCGATGTCATGATAGCGGGAACGATGATGGCGTGACCGCGGGTATGCAAGAGATGGTCGATGCCCCTAGGGTTCCTCAAGTTTCTTTGGATACCGAAGAAACTATGTTTGAAACTCCCAGTGCCAAACTACGTGAAGTATGCAGCTCTCTGTCGACGGATGACAGCATGTATGCGACACCTGCTGGTGGGCTGGTGAGTGCATCACGTGTGACGAACCAGCCTGAACAGTCTCCTGATGCTGTTGTGGCAGAGCAAGAAATCAGGAAGCAAATAAATCTCACTGATGGGATAGTAGGTACTGCTGTAGGGGATGTTGCGGTGCCTGTTACCAACATTGATTTTACTCCTTCAACCTCTGCCAAAAATTCTGAACCACCTACTAGCATAGATGCTGAGATTTCAACCGCTAGCAAGGATGCTAAACTTACAACTAGTGATGATTCCAAACTTACAGCACTCACTGGCAGAGATACAGAAACTCGCACTACATTGGGTCCACTAGAACTAGATGAACGGATGCCAAGTGAAGAGTTAGTCGAGTCTACTAGCAGCGCATTGCCTCTCGTAGGTCGAGACAACGATCCAAAAGCCGGTGTTAACGAAGCGGGGAAGGAGGCAGCAGTGACTGATGGTGATGGGAGCTCGGACAGCAAGCGGCGCAAGGTGAAATTTCCGGCCGAGGTCTCGTTGCGAGACTCGCTGTCGGGCAGCGACAGCAGCCTCGCGTCCTCGTCCCGCTCGCTGACGCGGCCCCCGGTAGAGGGCGCCACCGCGCACAGGCGCGTCGACGTGGGCGCCTCCTCCGATGGGACGTCGAGCGAGGGCGACCTGTCGCGAGATGGCGCCGCCGGTCACCAGGTCGGGATCGCGCGCATGGAGTCGTCGCCGATGGAGATCGCGCGCAAGAAGGTGTCGATCCACAGGATGCTGCGCAGCCGGCGCTCGTGCGAAGAGCTCGACCCCTACCCGGAGCTGACTGGCTCGCCATTGCAGCGTCCCAGGCCGACGCCGGCGCCCTCTGCTGAGGCCGCGCCGAAGAAGCAGAGCGTGACGGAGGCGATTGGCTTGATCCCGTTTGTCGACGAGGGAAACGAGGACTCGTTTGTGCGTCGCGCCGAGGCTCCAGCCCGGAAGAAGAAGCTTGGCGTCCCGACAATAAGGGTGTTGAGACGCGATGGTGACAACAAATCAGTTCAAAGTGGGAAGCCAGGAACAGTCCAGGGTGACGAGGTGACTCAGGACGAGAAGGAAGGGGCAGCCTCGGGCAGGAAGGCTGAGACGTCACAGGGTAGCGGTGATGGCGTGTTGGAAAATATTGCGGCTACGAATGCTGTTACTGATACGTCGTCTGTTTCCACAGCCAGCACTGGGCAAGTATTGTTGCATGCTTGGTTGCTGCGTTGTTATGAAAGTGTGTGTGAGAGAGAGAGAGAGAGAGAGAGGGAGGAAAGGAGAGAGAGAGTGAGAGAGAAGGAAGGTGAGAGAGAGAGAGAGTGACAGGAAGGGAAGGTGAGAGAGAGAGTGAGAGGGAGGGAAGGTGAGAGAGAGAGAGTGAGAGGGAGGGAAGGTGAGAGAGAGAGAGAGAGGGGGAGTGAGGGAAGGTTAGAGAGGTGATAGCAAGGAAGAAATGATTGGGAGGGGAGGAAAGACGAATGGATATGGAGATATAAAATTAAAACGGTTATTGCGAGTTTTTCGGCTCAGAAAAACTAAATATAGCTGAATTTAGTCTCACCTGACAGCGGAAACATCACTGATTAGACCAACATTAAAAACACTAAGATTTTATGCAGTTATAGCATACCATAGAAAAATGCATTTGACCACATCATACCAGCTCCGAATATTATTGTCGTATGCCGACTATCCAAAATACAAATGGCGCCTTCAAACGAAGTGCATAATTAAAACAAACGAGCGTACAATTCTGTGTGGTAAATATTATTGAGTTTTTATGTTAATAATTCAAAGCACTTTCTGTCATTGTCATTACCGTGTTACTATCTGACTGGTAATCCACAAGCTTCTCTAATAACAGACTTTACGCGGTATTAGTACTACACTGCTGTTATGCTAGTATGAACCTCTGTGCTTACACTCTGGCCTGATTTCTACGGTGCGACGGTATGCATTACTGCACCCTGATAGATGTCTGAGAGATGGCAACGGTAAACAAAACAGAACGCAAAATTGTAATTGTGCATGATTTGGTGAATACGAAGGTTCTAAGGCATTTTATCGTTACTCTAGACAATTGCTGTTACTCAAGCAATAACGGTATCATGAAAGTGGGGAAAACACTGGAAAACTCTCGCAATAATTACTTTAAGATAACTGAAATAGGGTTAGTTAGTTTTTCATAATTGTGTATAAACAAGACGTTTTTGATCGTACATTGATTTATTGTTGAATTATAGCATTAGTAAAGACGTGATGTTGAGCTATCTCATTGTAAATGCGCAACTAGCATTTGATAGTTTTTGTTATCATTATTGATACCTGTAGGGAACAGGCAGAGGAGGACTACAAGTTGCTGCTGAGCACACAGAAGGAGGAGATGAGGCAGCAAGCACGCAACAGAGCCCGTCTGAAGTCTGATGATGAACTAGGACTTGGCAGGTATTTGGACCGTATTTGTAATTTCATGGCGAGGACACAATCATCGTATTGTCTATACTTTGCATCTAAGCAAGCCTTATCGAGATGATTCTTGCATCATCTTCTCTTTAACTCTACTTACACTTACACACCGTACACTGTGTAGTTTCCTGTATACCAGAACTAACTGCCACATACCCGTATCTTTGTGTGCATTTTCTGTAGTTCTTACCTACCGCGTGCTTGTTTGTTTTCGTGGACGTGAAGCCAAACTCGCCTTATCCTTACATACTCGATCCCATAATTTTTACCCCGGATGTCTACCGTCTTTTTTTTCCTACGTGCATCCTCTTGTACTTCTTGTACAAACTTCAAGTGCACGTGGTATCTCTCGCAGCTACACGCCGCGTCTTAGGTACGCTCGCACTGGCAGGAACGCCAGTACGGAGGATGCAGACAGCACGGAGCCCAACAACAACAGCAGCAAGTGCGATGTCAAGCCGGGCATTCTCATCTTCGGCGATACCGACAAGGGCGTAGCATCAGAGCAGGTGGAGGGAGGAGACCAACCGAAAGGAGAGGTATCCGTTTGCGATGGTGATTCGCGAGTCGGAGGTACATCCTCGCAAGCGCCTGTCATCGCCTCGTTCTCAAAGGAAAGTGTCGCTCTGCAGTCGTACGATGGTGAAGAGCAGAAGGAGCCGGTCGCCGCTGAAGCCATGTCCGCGGCTAAGGATAGCAGCTGTGCGAAGGTGACTTTTGCGACCACGGAAGCTGTGAGATGTCCGGATGGCTTCCACGATGAGCAACTTCGTTCAGGCAAGAGCAGCTTGACGTCTAGTCTGCATGTAAGAACACGGTCAGCAGCAGATGATGGCAAATTGTTAACAGCAAGGGGTGAAGTGATGGATTCGGTTGCTGTCACAGACATTCTTGTCGAGTTTGCTGAAGAAAAAGGTGCGAGTAGTATATAGAAACTATAGCTACCTAGTATGATATTGTCATTTTTATCATACATGTGTCTACGGCAATAAGTTCAATTACGGTACGACAAATTTGCAGTGCTTGTTGTCCTTCTTCTTTTCACTCTGATTTGTTCACCTTGATTTGTTTTTTTTAATGGTTTTGGTGCACTTATTCAGTTTTTGTTCATCTATCAAAGTGTAAACGTAAAATGCATATGATGCAATGCAATTTCACCCTGCGTAAAATGCATCAGGTCAAAGCGAAACTCAGGCGGCCACATCGAGTACAGGCAGTGTTTCTGAAGCAGGAAGCCACGGTGACGTGCATCCAGGTTTACGATCCGAGGGTCGAGCTAGTGACCGCTCTATGGGGTCAACCGGGAGCAGCACTGACAGCACCACCACCAAGGGTAACTACTCTTACAACAGAATGGCTTGCGTGTCAACAAACCTTTACTCTGCTGCCTAGAGTTAACCTACTATTTAAAAAAAACGAGCAGTTCGTATTTTCTTTCTTGAAGTGAAGTGTACACATTATGGTTGGCTTCTTTCTTTATTATGTTGTTGGCAAGAGAAGCAGGACGTTTGAACCTCGGTATCAAGTGTCAAATTGTAGATAAGATTGTTTCCATAGGTTTGGGTTGATGATCCAAGTAAGATGTTTTTACAGCAGTATTCTATCGTTATCTACCTACCCATGTCCATACACCATTAATGCCTTGCAGTGGCAATGCATTTTCATTATGTAGACATAGAAAAAATATCCTCATTCAATAGGTAAAAAGTAAAAAATATGAAATTTATGTGCAATTGGGTAATCTCTATGTGTTTCACTCATGATTTCTCATGGATAGAGGTAAAACATGACGATTGCTGAGTCCACATTGCATTTTTCCAGAAAGAAAGAGTTTGCTGGCAAAAATCAAGATGGCCACCAAGTCACCAAAACTTCCCACTGGCAAAACTCCTCCTAAAGAAAATCCTGTAAATAAGAATGATACGGAAAAATCTGATTCTGATCAGAAGCAAGGGTGGAAGGTAACCTATTACTCATAACAATGTTAGTTTGTGCCACACTGTGACCGGGTGTTAATCATAGATCTCCAACACATTGACTTCATTACCTGTCTGGCTGTGTCTGCCACATGTCAACACGTTGTTTCTCTGCCATAGATAAAGCTGAACCGGAAGAAGAAGAAGAAGACTCGCAAGTCTGTCTCGCCGGAGGATGACACCACTGATGTGAAGCCAAAGACTGATGGTTGGGGAAGGAAGGCGCCAACAGCCGAGAGCGAAGATTACTCCGACCCTGATCCGCTTACTGGACACTCGAAGACTGCGAGCCCCTTCCACGACAACACTCTGCAGCGTGCAAAGAAAGCGGCTGCCATGCAGGCCAAGCAAGAAGCCCTAGACAGGCTACACCTTGCACAGGTAAACATGCCAGGTGGTAGGAAGGATTAGACAAGTTGCACTTGACATCATAGAAAACGCTACACGTTATGGCGCAGACATTCTTGTAATTGTATGTGGGCTTAGGTAGGCATCACCTGAACCAAAAAGCCCTAGAAAATGATGCAATAGTACAGCTGACTGTACATGTATGACAAGAATCCCTAGATAAAATACGTATAGCTTGACCCTATGATACTATACTTGAGGCAGGAGGCAGCCCCTCCCCACGTAGCATAACAGAGACTCATATCAAATACTAGTGAAATATAGAATACTTGTATTCATACAAGTATATTCTTACTGTAGATTAGACGTGTTTCGTTAAAAGTGTGGACACCCCTTTTGTACATATTTGATCTTCGTTCTTCATGCAGGAAGTGCAGCGAGAGCTGGAGGAACTGGAAGTGAGACAGAAGGAGCTGGAGGCTCGAGGTGTTGTCGTGGAGCAGGCGATGAATGGGGAGGGACCCGATGCTGATAGAGACGAGACGGAAGTGATGCAGGTACGCTGCAGGTGTATCGTCAGCAGTTGTGATCTCTCCCGCGTAACAAATGCGACAGCAAGGCTCATTGGTTTAAGCTGATTTAGCACCATCAGCATACCTATACAGAGTGTTATCATGATTTTAGTTCTGCAAGTGCAGCTATAGGTACAATAATGTGTTGCACTTGATAGCAGGTCACTTTCGTATGACACCTACATGTACCAACATGTATAATACACAGTCACACATTTGTGTTTCCTTTGCAAAGATAATGAATAAAACTGGTTGAAACATTCCTATACTTTTGAGATGTGTGCGGTACTCTACAGAAACATTCATGATTCATCTCATTATCACTAGGTAGTAGGTACATTACCATCGGCCGTGTTCATGACAATAAATCCCACACGGCAGCAAGTTCCACTGTTAAGTCACACTGTACCTTGCAGATACAACCAAAAACAAAATGTTCCCAGTTCCTCATGCTCATTAACAAGGCTACATGAAACTCACCCGTCATGAAATCATTGTATTCTGTGTCTGGCGTGAAGTTCTGCAATTATTATAATGTCAATATGAAAAACTTTTTCTACAAGTGAATACATTCACTCGCCCATTTCCTCATGATAGTATTTTACTACAAACTGGTTATTAGCGTGCTTGTGATCCTTGATAATTGCAGTGCTTTTATGTAAGCATAACTTTGTCGGCTCAGGGATCTGCTTAAACTGGCTGGTTGGTCAATAAAATAATATGCATACAACAGGTACAAAATTATAATCATGTACATTATACAACTGTAATACAGCTATGGAAGTGTAAACATTCAATAGATGATGATAAAAAGATTTATTCCAATCCTTACTATATTCTCTCTGCCCAACTCATTTATTCATTTATTCATCATAAATAACACAAGTAATTTGGTTTTTATTTTGACACTGGCATCATGGAAGAACGGAATATCCCAAGTTCAAAAAATGACAGTGCTATTTTCGTAGTACTGCAAATATAAATATGGAAGAATCGCTAGCATTACATTGTGCTAAGTAAGTTTACAAGAAATGTGCTGACCCTATGTTAGCGACATTTACATTGAAACAGTGTGCGGCATTCTTTAGTTCAAGTTTCTTTATCCGCTGGTTACTCAAACAGTGAACTAGTTCAGTATATATTTACATAGTTTCGTAAACATCTTATCTGCTATTCGCATGTTGTTGTGAACAGCTTGAGCTTACGTGTCGCCAGAGTGATGCGCACACGATATGTTCAGTGTTTGTTACGAGAACAACTCTCCATTCGTTTGTTGTCTATAGGAGTGGTTCCAGCTGGTGCACGACAAGAATGTCGTCGTGCGGCGAGAGTCGGAGCTGATGATACGTGCCAAGGAGCTCGAGCTGGAAGAAAGACACGAGCGGCTGCAGAATGAGCTGCACACACTCGCCGGCAAGAAAGGTAGGGGCAGCGGGCGGTAGAAGGGGGAGACAGCGGGAGGTAGGAGGGGGAGACAACGGGAGGTAAGAGGGGTAGGAGGTGGAGGGGAAGGCAGTAGGAGGAGGAAGAGGAGGAGGATGGGGGGAGGGGGGTAGGAGGGGAAGCTAAGGGGTGAGGGTGCAAGTTATTATATAGCCATTTGGGCTGGTACATTATTTTGTAGGCTACCATTCTTCACACTTTTTCAATAATTATACAGCCCCTGAGTTTTTTTAGCACCATGGACTGCTATAAAATTTTATTAAGTGTAAGCAAAATTAGCCAAGAATCTCACAAAATCGAGGGATCACTATTAAGAAGTGCAGTGTAAACAATTCTAATAAGCGTGTGCTACATGCAGCACCATCTGTGGCCACACACACGTAGTCTGGCTGTCGCAGCTAGGAATTTTAAGTACCCTCTTATTTGGCTTAAAGGTGCCTTCCCATGAAATTTCAAGCGGAAAACATAAAATCAGGCAAAAATTAATTATTTTAACATTGCACGTTTGTATTTGCCTATAATATATGTGTGATAGGTGCCCGGGAATACGTTCATTCGAAGCTTTTAGACTTAAGTTTTTACAGTGGTTTGCAGCGAACGAGCTTGGCACTCGCCCGTTCACCAATGTCGAGTGAAAATAATCGCAGGCGAGTAAAAGCTAAAGCTGACTTGCCCATGTTGGCGAGTAAAAATAATTGTCTAAAACTTTAATCAATTGTTGGTTCTTTACGTTATATATAATAACCAAACATTGATGAAAAACAGTTCTAGCGATTGTGAAGGGTGGCTATCCCACGGCATCCTCACTTTATATTATTAAAGCTCGCCGACAGTCAGCACAGCGTGGCTGTGTATACGTGCCTGGGCGGCATATTAATTGATGTACGGGGGGGGGGGAGTGCAGGATTGTTTAAAAGTTGCGTGGGCCTGTTCATTATGTTCATTATATGGGTTGGGCACCGCTGGGATCAGAGGACGACACCAAAATTCTTTCCTGGAATTGAGGGAAAACCTGCAATCAGGAATGACACACAATGAGCGTGCCGGCACGCAAAAATAAACGTGTGAATTTCATTACCATTTTCCATGTATATATTGTAATATCAGGAGTGTATAATATCGATATAATATATAGATCTATATATATCTATCTACCTATCTATCTATCTGTTTATATAATATAGATCTCTATATTATACACTCCTGGAAAATATGATATGCATTGAACCAAAAGAGGACCTTCACGGCTCATAGATTGCAAGTAAATTGTGTACAGATAACAGAGATCAGAAAATAATTAAGCGTTGAGGCCTGTGTTAATTAAGTCGGCAGATAGCTTAACTTTTTAACCACATTACTTTGCCTTAGCATTGTACTTGCACAACTTGGCAGAGACTGAACAATTCAACCCTCTGCAATTTGAAATTTATGTTTCTTTTTTTTTAAAGTAAGTATTTTAGTATTTGGTGTCCCCAAAGATTAAAATACTCAACTCAAAAGTGTTATTTTTGTGATGAAGATTGTTTAATAATGCTGCCTCAGAGTGCAGGAAATTGCATGTAACAGGTGTAATTTTTAAAAAAAATTCCATTTTTAAAAAGGACCCTGCCTAATCAGGGACCCCTTCCCGAACTCACCCCCATAGTCTATTTTTTCACTATTGTTTGACAAGCATTTTTGTTTTAAAATTTCGGCGAGTACAGATTCTGTTTGGGCGAGTTAACTTATTGACTCACTCGCCCAATTTGGCGAGAGATTTTTATTTTAAAGCTCTAACACTGGGTTTGTCACAAAAATTCGTGTGGGAAGGCATCTTTAACTAAAACAGGTGCCGCACCATTAGCTGCAGGAAAATTGTTGATGTACCCATATAAAATTAATATAATTAAATTCTGCACATAGTAAATGTAAATATGCATAATTGTGACATTTGATGTGTAGCTTGTACATCAAAGAGATGAGGCTGTCATTGGAGAGTCTTTTTCTGTATTAATTGGTGTTTTATTTATCACTTAGTGTAAGTAGGATAAAAATGAAGGTTATCAATATTTGCAATTTTTGTTCCCTATGGTACTTATAGACTCATATGCATTTTCTACATCCCAGAGAAGAAGAAATCAAAGAAGGAGAAGCAGGCTGAAGGTAAGATGCTGGCAGAGATGATGGAGGTGGTAGATCAGAGGGATGCACTTGTCACCTTATTAGAGGAGGAGCGCTTACGAGAGAAAGAGGAAGACAAGCAGCTCATTGCTACTATGGAGAAGAAGGGCATCCCAATATCATCGCCTCCCTTATGCTTATCACCTCCTAATGAAACTAGTACAGAGTGTGACGTGACTACAGCCTTATAATTATACGTTGTGGTTACTATGGCAATAAAATTCAACAATTTGTCACCTATCGTGAGCGTGGGTGGTTGAGTAACCATGTATACTGTTACAGCATGGAATTCTCGTTTAGGGGAACAGGTAGATTGTGTATAAAGGACATAGTGCCTATTTCACATCCCTTCTCTCTGTGCATGCTAACATTTTTAAGCAGAGGATTAGGATACATCAGGATTGTTTTCTTTTCAATTTTCTTGAAGCGTGAAGAAAAGTGAAATAAACTGCCTACGTAATATGGTTGTTTAGCAGTATGTGGCATGGATCTCCTTGGCCTAATATTAGTATACCCACTTTAAACATACACCATTTCCACGACTTGAGGTTGCTGCCTTTATTGTCTAAAACTAATTGGATATGAAATAGCAGAGGCTGCTGCCATCTGGTAGAGAGAGAAAGATACAAGTACTCGTATCTCATTGTGATGTCATTGTATGCTCAACTCTATCTGTCTCCTATTCCTATCTAATGAACAATGGTTTTATAGCGTGAACCTGTTTAGGACGAAGGATACCTCATTTATCACGTAAAGTATGGTGCTATATAGCATTGTTAATGGCAAAGGTCGAACATTTGTACGAGCTTTTGTAGGTGCTTAAAAATACACATAAACGCATGCATTATTGGCAGTGTGCTTCCATTAGCATCTTCTCTGTGCTAGCATTTTCTCTACGTGAGCATACTTTGCATCAGCGTGTATCAGCATCCTCTACACTTCCTTGTATCACTCTGGTTTTTAATGGGCTCCTTACATTTATCCCTATCTACTTCCCTTCACAGGCAATTGAGCCTATTCTGCCGGTTAATAATCTCAAATTTATTATCAAAATTATCTTGATTTAGAATATTTTGTCATCCCAAATTGAGACTATTTACTCCTACGGTGATATTTATTTAACTTAGACTTATGGAACTAGGTGCATGCACAGGTTTTTTGCAAGGGGCCATTTTTGGTGCTTATTCTCTCCTAGATGCAGCCATTAACGTTTGATGTTGAATGAACACTAGGGTGTGAGTGAAGTAGAGATGTGCAGTATTTTGCAGCTGTACCCGGCAACTATTCTTACTACTTACGAAACAAGGCATGAACTGGAGTGTAACCGATTCTAGAAGATTGTGGAACGATTGATCTTGATTTCACGGTAGCAAATAATAGTTTGTGTGCACTGAGTTTTTGGTGTTACAATAATTTGGTCTGCGTGAGAAACGCGCCTGATATTGAGTTTGGTTGTATTGAAACCGGAATGTCGAGAGCTTTTTTCTTCAAATATAGAGATGCGGACTAATGCGCTTTCCCAGTTTTTTGTCACGATGTATCGCGTGGTGATTAAAGACATTGATGGCTTTCATCGTATCCTTCTTGTGTAGAGCAAGCGGCCATAGTAATTTTTAACTGCAAGTTGGTGAAGCTTCCAATTAGTTTGATGTCTGTGTACTATTTATTGCACCCGTTTTCTGATGTTTTCTAGTGTCTTTGTAAATTATTAATCAATGGAGATTTTTTATAGTGATAATCATTATAGTTCACGAAATGCAGTTTTTTTGGGAGGGGGGCTGTCTTCTTCTAAAGTAGTAGTGCTTTGTTATAGAATATACAACACCCGTGGATGGAACCAGTCGGCCTATAATCTAGATGTCTTCTACATAATGTCACCCACCATAAATACGCCTGTGTCAGAAAGATTTATGGAATTATTACAATTGCATGGCTTATTTTTTTTTTGTCACCAGATTAGAACCACGGCTGTGATAATGTTTTGAGAATATATGACCCTGAATGATACGTCTATTATGTAGACATGCAGAACCGCTCCCCAATGTTTGGGTTTTTGTCTTGTGTTTGTCTTACAAATATATGAGATTGCCTCTTGCTGGATGGTTTGCAAATAACAACATTGTAGCAGGTTCGTGAGCAGAATTGTAGGGAGCGCGAGAGCAGCCAGATAATAGCTTTGAGATATATATATGCGCTTTATATAATTGCGTCCCTGTATAATTCCCAGTCGTGTTTTCCTGTTTCTTGTACATAACCAAAGGTTGCAGCTTCGCGTCACGCCTACAAACACTACTATAGTTGGTAACGACGGACGACATTACATGAAAGTTGTGAGCTGTGTCTATCATTTTGTTGTTTAAACGGTGAGGCTGTGATTTAGCGCGCGTTATCATGATGAATTTGTAGATTTGGAAATTGCGAAAATGTAGACTATTTGAATCGTGGATGCTAGAGGGTGCTTGCAGAGAGTTAATCACGGCTTAGTAAGCAGAGCGATACTTTATTTGCTTGCTTATTATACTGCTTTATTTTTTTACCTGCGATATGAAACGCTCCTCGTTGATGATAACAAAACCAAGTTCTTGAACAGTTGTCAGGCCGAGTAGGTTTGTAAAACCATTTGGCACAACCCACTCCCGACCTTGGATTTGTGACAGATAAGATGCACTCTCTCAGTGGTGTCATGTTGGTTTTGTTTCACATGTTGAGCTTGACTTTTGTATGGGTCGCCTGCTCTTTCCTCACATGCCGCTGGCAAAAAGTGTTCACGTCCGCTTCATTTCCCACTATGGAATCTTACACTATGGCCATTGACAGTCGTGGCAGCATTAACACTGTTCATGGTTCGCACAGTCCTTGAAAAGTCCTTGATTTGAGGGGAGTTCTGAAATTACTTGAATTGTAAATGTTGATTTTGGTGCTTGATGAAGTCCTGAATTTCATGACATGTCCTTGGATTTTTAGAAGTAATCCTATGCCTCTATAAAAGAATTTTATGTACACAATAATGTGCAACCTCAATAAAATTCCGTTCAATAGGAGTTAAAGAAGCCTATGACACGAATAGACAGTTAAATGAATGATCAAAACTTACAGTATAAGTCAGTAAAATCAGTCATAATCACGGTTATGTTGTGGGGAGGTGACGTGTTTAGAAAATGTAGAAGGGTTTTTATGTGATTCCGGTACGTTTTGAGGTTGACATGGCAGTGAGGGTGTAGGAATGGGTGTTATTAATTAATCCAGGTATGTTATTGAATCTGTGTTGAATTCCGCATAAAATGTCTAGGCTAAAGTGTCTATGAATTCTCGATAAATTGTCTTTTGGAAGAGTACCTTTCAGAAAAAGATCTGAGAATCCTCCCTGTCAATTGAACCATGCTGTTCCTGTCTCTCATCGCCATTAGCCACACATTGTCCCCAGGCTTATCATCGGTCCACTGTGACACAGCATGAATCTTCGTACATTTAGCTCTGAAATGGTTCCTGCCCCACATTTCAGACATTTCGTACCCCATGCAGGACACCTTTCATTGTCCCTCTCATGCCTACCACCACAGAACTTGCAGTCAATTCTGTGTTTTTCTGTAGGATTTCTGTTATATGAGCCACCCTGCTCTGGGGGTCTGGCGACTGCATTGTTGGGCTTTTGCGACACTTTGTTTACTTTCCTGTGAGTTGACAAATCTCTTATTTATCTCTTTCACGGGCTTGTTTGATTGTTCAAAAGCTATGCACGTATCTATCGCCTTTTCCAGGGTGAGCTTGTCTTCCCGGAGCAATAGTTCTTGCAGCTTACCAGTTACTGTGAACACGATTTTGTCTCATATCATGCGGTCTTTCTCCTTGAAATTACACGCACTTGCTCGCGATTTCAGTTTTGTCAGAATCTTGTCAAAAGGTTCCTGGTGCACGACATTCCAGAACCTATGAGAGTCGAGCACTTCATTGTCTTTAGGGTTGCAGTATTTCTCTAATGCTTCCAGTACCTTATTGGGATTTTCCTCGTCGCCGTCTGCTTCCCAAACAAATTGGTCGTATTTCTCCAGCACGGATGCCCCCGCACAATTTAGTAATACTGTATTGCCGTTTGCACGCTATGGTCCCTGGATGGCGAACTCTGATGCGCTCAAAGAGCCGGCTAGCGCCATTTCTTTCCTTTTTTCTCCTTATGGACTTGGAAAGAGGAATTTCCTTCATAATAATGCTTTATTGCCTCGATGTCCTGCTCTCGTATTGCTTATAATTATTGTTATTATTATTAATATTATTATTAGAGGGTATGCAGCGAGCATACAATATTATAAATGGTAAACATGTAAACATCTGTTTTTACTGGTTGTTTACCGCGCGACTATCTGACATGTGACATTTTATTCCAATGTGGTTTTGTTCCAAATATATTTTCCCGATTCTGTACATGCACAGCTTTTTTTCTTTTTGCCAATACACGATTGTCTACTTGTAATTGCATTTTATAGTTATTGTTTAAAACTTGTCTATAATAAATTGTCTAGCATTTTTATTGTCTATTTGATATTATTGATTGGAAAATTATTACATGAGCTTTGTTGCTGGTTGCACTGGTGTGCGACGTTTATGTACAGGAGGCGTGACCGTGTGACCTACGTTATACCGCAGGCTATAAATAAACTGTAGATCCCACTTTTGTGTCAAGATGGTTTGTTTGTGGGGGGAATTATTTACTGTCATCGTTTTGGTTCCCACGGCAGCTGAGCGTGTATTACCGCAGGCCCGTCTACACTCTAGAAATACATATAAATTAGGAAGCTTAGATTTTTAATGCTGAAGGTGTGTTGAGATGTACTCTGTCTAAGTGCTTGCCAAAGTTAATATTAACTATCTACCTAAATAGCTCTTGTTACTCATCATTATAGGACTAGATGGCCAGTAGATTGGAGTGTTATTAAAAACAAATGATGCACCAAGTTTGAAATTGCGATATTTGTGAATGTTGTAACTATGCTACAACAACCTTTGCTGTTGCCGAACTTTATTACATTTATACATAGAATATAATTATGTAAGTGGGGCTTTCGGAATGCGTTCCCGGATTTCGCCTACTAATTCGAATATGTAAGCCGCAATCGCAGAACCATTGTAATTATTGTGACGTCAGTGAGCGTTTTCGTGACGCGTTTGTATATGTGTGTATTTGTACATATTGATAATAAAATGTCGCATTATAGATAGTTGAACCAAACCGACAAAGTGCTATGCTTTCATCATTCGGGATTACTGGGCGCCTGAAATGACGTTATGATGTTACTGAAGATTGAGACACTGGAATATAGATTTTCCATAGAGAAATGAAGAGTTTAGATGCAAAACGTACGCTCCATTTCCATTTTTATTGTTTTGAGTAAATGAGCTTTTTACTTAAAGCACCATATAAAAAATCGGTTGCATTTAAATTGAAGATAATGATAGAAAATGACATAGGAAAATAATGTGAAAACCTTTAAAATCAAACTTGTTTTTTCAAAAAAATGCCACAAACTTGCGTTTTTTAAACGCTCCATATCCGTAGTTGGTTGCAAAAGGCTCCATATCCATGAAGGTGCTTGTGTGCAATGCTCTGCTCCCTCCAATATTATGACTGAAAGATTATAATACGTACAATGCAACTAAAACTGAACTGAGTTAACCCTGGCCTTAACCCTTTATTGCCTAATGTCTATAAATTTTACTGGCTTTACTTTAACCCTTTAGGGTCAGAGTGCTCTTTCGTTCGAATTTAAATGAAAATCATCGGATCTTTCAACAGCACCGTAAAATGGTTGCTAAAAATGGGTTGAAGCCAGGTTCCAACTATTTCGGAGATGTTCATAATTTGTCACAGTTCAAAACTAGGTCAGAAATCACGTTTTAACAGCGGTCCCTCACTCCTCATAGATTTTCACAGGTGTGAGCACTAGTCACTGTCACTATCACTCTGCTCAGGTCCATTAGCATTGGCCATGTCTTCGTAGAAATTCCTTACATTTTGGGGAACCCCAAGGCACTATATAGTAATAAGAAAACCTGAGACATTATGATAAGCTCAATTATCATGTGAAATAATATATTGATATACACTCTTTGATCATATTTATAATTTCAATGAATTCACATTTTGTCTAGCAAATAGGTCGACATACACAAAAGCAGCAGCAGAAATAGGAGGGCATGGCGCTAGCATGGGAACAATCCTAATGAGGATAAAATATTTCGTATAATAACTGAGTATAATGATCGAACGTGGACGGCGTCAAGTAACAGGATAAGATTATGCTGAATGTAGAACGTTGCTCTGGCGTATTTATATTTTATTGTCATTTAAATTAGTCATATTCTTTTCAGAAAAAAACAGCGAACGGGGGGGGGGGGTGCTCTTCCCACCATCCATTCCTCGTAGGATATATCATGGCACTGGAATGCCAGGCTGTTATGTGGCTGAGCGGCTTCAGCCAAGACGGTACAGCCCCCAGTGCGAGTGCATCGCCTCAGAAATGCAGTCAGACTCCACAGTTATTTTTTTTTAAATAACTGTCCTAAAATCTGCGTGTACATAGTGTCTTGCACCATGGCACCATGCCGTTTTATGGGTTTAGCCACAGAAATAGATATATATAATACTATATCTACATCTGATCTATGGTTTTTGCCTCGTTTTTGCATTCTTAACGCAGTAAGAACAACCCACCACCCCTTTCGCAGTAAAATAGTTACACCCAACCTGTGACGTCGAGTGCTAGTCTCTTGGTGAATGACTCATATCCGGAACCAACATGAAAAACAAATTTTGATTCAGTGAGAAGGTACGGCTTCAGTTATCGTTCGTAGTGATGCCTGATGGTTTAATCTAGAATTACATGATGCGATGACAACAACTAAGCAGAATCACAGGTAAGAGCGCGACTGTTATGTATAACCACGAATATAACATTAATCATTGACATTATGTCTAGGCCTGACGGTGCATCAATAACACTAATACTAATAGTAATAGGGGGCCTAGTAATACTAATAGTAATACTATTACTAATAGTAATAGTAATACTAATACTAGTAATACTATTTACTAGTAGTAGTAGTACTAGTAGTAGTAGTAGTAGTAATACTACTACTAGTACTAGTAGTATTACACAGTAGCCTGAGTAAGGCCTATGCCCTGGGTGTGCCAAGACTTGAACCCGCAAGGATATATTTCTGACCTTATAGTTATAGTATACTGTGGCGCATAGGGTCTATGTCCCCCAGGGCCAGGGTACGTACTGCCGGAACGTACCCTGGGTACAGTCCGGTATACCGGAACGTACCCTGGTAACTATTTGATATGGTTAGAGTTAGGGTTAGGATTAGGGTTAGGATTAGGGTTAGGATTAGGGTTAGGGTTAGGGTTAGGGTTAGGGTTAGGGTTAGGGTTAGGGTTAGAGTTAGGGTTAGGGAGTAGGCGTAGGCGACTCCCTAGACTTGTTAGTGAAGTAGGCGAGGTACGGTCCGGCATATTAGATAGTACCAGCTAGGGTACGTTCCGGCATAGCTCTAGTACTATAGCCCGCGGATCGCTGCCGCAGGCGCGATCCGCGGCAGCGATCCGCGGCCTGCGGCAGCGATCCGCGGGCTATAGTACTAGAGCTAGTTCCGGCAGTACCCTGGGGGACATAGACCCTCTCAGCTATACTGTGTGTGCTATTTTGAATGTCATATTTTAGTTTGTTTATGTGCAAAATGCATATATATATATACTTTGACCTAATGACTATAATTTATGGAATTTGTTCTTATATTTACAAGCAACTGCAATTTGATGATAGTTCAAAACTCAAGACAGTTTTAATATTGTATGCAATTAAATTATTTTCAAATTCTATACTACGGCTACTGTAGGCTGTAGCAGAGTCACCACTGACGCCGTTGTATATTTATTTATTACCTTTTCTGAGTATGATGATCACATTTGGGGACCCTGAGACATGTTTTTGTTGCTGTAAAGGCAGTGTTGTATGGAATCACAAGCATATGTCATAGAGGTCTAGTAATCTATAAAGCTAATTTCTGTTATGTTAGTGCACACAATGTCAACATGTCTATCAAATAATTGGTATACCTCTGTGCATATCTCTATTGTCCAAGTACTGCAGACAAAGACCACGTACGTTTGTACAATTAATATGAGTATTAATAATTAATAATTGCCAATTTCTACACATGTGAGGGACCTGAGGGTGAGTATTATCTCAGTCCTGTAGTTGTGTAGCATTCTAACAGACATGTTTTATCTTATCTATCTTATTTGCTTTTACAGTTTGATTGAATGCGTTGCAAAAATCTGGTTCTAAGTTAAATATTTGTTTTGTATTCACAGACTGTTATCACTGGCGTGTCTGTCTACATAAAAGTTTAATGATTTCATGTTCTCTTCACTATTCTTATTAGGTTATTTATTTCCCCAAATGTAAGCAGATGGTTCAAAATTAAGGGCAGCAATCAGCAGTTTTGCTGCCTACAAAGGTCAGTTGGCTGCCTGCTCTTAACATCAACAGCAAGTATGTTTTGCCAAAAAACCTACTAAACCATATGTAGTAACGCACTGAAGATTCTGCCTCGTTGAGTAAATTTGCTGTCTGCCTTTTTTCTGATGGCAAGTACTTTATACTTGGCAAAAATGTTAATTTCTAATCCTGAAGAAGATATAAGAGAGTTGAATGCATTTGTGTGGACTGTTATTAATTAGTAGTATCTTGTTGAAAACGTCTACTTTATACTTTTGGGGTATTTCAATACAGAAATATTATACAAGGAAATTAATGAGGGATATTACTATATAATGTACACATAACTAGAAAATATAAATATGTGAGATAGATATCATGCCAATAATTGCATATTTGTTGACATCTGTGTCCAATCATTAGATAAATTGTCCCGAGAAATAGCTTAGCTCTCTATAGCAACTGCATAGAATCCCTCAGTCCAGATTTATGAAAACATTATAGTTGCTAACAGCAAAAGGCATACAGAGTTACATACAAGAGTGGGGTGAATATATGTTAAAGGAGCATATCTCTGGCATCTAGTTCTGGAATTTTTACACCCGATGTTAACTTTAAATTACCGATAAAAAACCATTGCTGCAAGTTCCAAAGTTTAAACATTGCTTTTCGCTAACCTAGTGCTGCAAGCAAATTGATATACGACGTGTTAACCAAGAAAAGCTGCACGGCGTGTAAGATGTTGAGAGGCGATAGATTGCATTTATATGAGCGATTCGATCGTAAAGCATGTAGGTAGCACGAGTTAAGACTGTACCATGCGCTAACTCATCTGTTATGAATGTGTTGACATGTAGCCTACAGGTGGCTGGCATTCCTGAAGATGCTTATAACCATCCTTGGCTTCATTTAGCTGCAGCTTATCATAATATTGTGCTTGGCACGCGGATGCATTCCCGAACGCCGAAATACGTCGCTCGCCCACGTTCCAAGAAGCAACTTATTAGGCTAATTGCTTGCCCAGCTCTGGGATGTAATCAGGCTGGCATTTGGGCAGGCACACGCTAGTGGTTTAAGCAATGTCTTGACCTTGCTCGCAGGGGAGAGGTTAAATTGGAACGAGGGGGGTACTCGGAGACGTTTACACGCCTCTGCGGCATATGTTGCTGATCATAAACCGTGTATTGCGCTTGTTCGGTCTACGTATGCACGGGAATGGATCCTCTACACGGCGATGTTTTGTATAGGGATTTGGGTCTCGTGAAGCGTGCATTCCTGTTGTGCACGCGGCTATAGCTCCTGCCTGCAATAACACATCACAGAGCTTGTCCTTCTCTAACAAGCTGTCCCATGCAGCCGCGTAGACCTACCAATAAACACACATATTGTTTAATACATCCAAGCTGTAATGACAAGTGCAGACCAACTGTAGGATTTAGTAGGTAACTGTGTATACAGTGGTGTGGGAGGCACTGCAAAGCCCCATTGAAACCTAGTGTTTGAACACGAATGTGATCCATGCATGCGTCCCAGTAAAAATCCGAGTCCGGTTACGAAATTTCATGAGTATGGGTGCAATGCGACCTTCCTAAGTCTAGGTGTAGAGAAATGGTAGCCATGCGGGATTATCTGATTTTACTAGAGCATAAAGACAACAAGTAGTAAGAATTACTTGCGAGGTAGGCCTACATGTACGCTCATTGATTTGTTCCCGATGTATGATAGTATCACCGATACGTATGGACAGAACTGAAGTGATCATCGATCGCGCCAGATCCACGGACCAGTCGACAGATCTAGAAGATCGATTTGCTGCAATTTGGCTCCGTGAATATCTGGTGACGCTAGATTTGTCTGATCATGTCTGCGAGTTCGTACCGCAATCGATCACGTCCAACCGTATTATATCAAGAGCGTATTTAAAGAAGGTACCTTCTTTATACGCTCTTGATTATATGTATGCTAACAGTGTGTTTGAGTGCAAGTTCGTGCACAGTATACGAACGATCGGCCTCCTGGATGATTAATGGCAGCATGTAATTCAGTTCCATACGTTGTAAAAGTAAATTGTGATAATACGGCTCGAAGGTTACAGTATGTGAGCTGTTTGCTCAATAAGCTATCGCAGCGTTAGCCCGACCAGGCTGTGCGACGGATTGTCTATACACGTATATTCGGATATTCTAACCCTAGCAATACTGTTTCTTGGAGCTATCGCAGCGTATGCTGAGTTTATAGTACGCTCGATGGCGGTGGGCGGAGTATATAGCGAGCCACGTGAAATGGGCGATGGTGTCATTTAAACGTAAGCACAAAATATGTTTTTCCCATCAGTCGTGATTTTTCGCCTACCGTGACTCGTTATTCCCACATAGAAAGCATGAAACGCGTGTTTTACTATTTACCGTGAATTTAATTTCACCTCGTGGATTTTTACACAGAATTTAGACCAGTTTCAGTAATGTAAAACTCAATGATCACTGTACATATGAAGAGGACCAAATCCTTACTATTATAAATTGAGATTTGGGGTACCGCGTCGGGCTTGTCTGCTCTAGTGTAATCAGTGAGTGTAAGTGCACAGTGCACTTTGTAGGCTTTTTCACGTGAAATGTACTACCGAGATGAGCCATTAGTTAAAGGTCTGTCAAATTTGGTGTAAGAATAAACACGCGCACGTACAGATGCGCACGTGCGCTCTTCAGCCATCACACTATTATTAATGGTTCATATCCACAATCCGCAATTAATGTTTGTAGCTTCTCTGTATGGTGTCGGTCTTGACCTCAAAATTGCATTCGTGAGAGTTAAAATCATTGTAAGTCAGCTACTTTAAAAATAAACCGTGCAGGTCGACATCGCACGGGATCATGAGCTGGCCGATTGTTCATCGGCTGGCTGTTGGATAGCTAGGGACGTAGGTTGCTTCGAAAGCTCCAGGTGACATTTACGTTTACATTCTAAAAGTCTAACAAAGACTCGCTTTGTCGCTCGAGCCCATGTGTCCGCGGTACAGTTTGGCCGCCTGAGGATTTCCTCCCAAGAACCGCGGCAACATATTATCGCAATTTGTCAGACCGGTGGGAAAGCACTCTTGCTGATCCGACTATAGCGTAATGACTGCCATCTTGCTAGCACTCTCGCGGGGACAATACGGCGCGTGAATGTGTGCACGCCACCTTACAACAACAGACAAGTGCCCGGCTGTCAAAAGCTGTACATCCCCCATTATTCGGGGCTTAGCCATTCCTCACCCAGTCGGCGGCCGCTTACAGCGCCCTCTTTTTTTTCGAAATCCGTTCTAATGTTCTAATGTTTCGCAGCGTGACGGGCGACTTCCACGTAGTACGACTTTGTTTTTGGTCACGTTCTGACTTCCGCGTGATTTTCTCGAGATGTTGAAATGCGTGATGAGTCGAGTCAATATTTAATCGCTGGAGTTTTATCGGCGTCCGTGCGCGCGGCCGTAAAGCGACTGGCGCTGGATGAGTTTTATTTTAATTTGGGCGCCTAGCTCCTCTAGATCTCATCGCGGCGTGTTACTTACGTAGCCACAGCTTAATACAAATGTGCGAGAGTAGTGCGACTGCAGAAAAATGAGAATCTACCGCTATTACACAGACACGCGCATATATAGGCACGCACGCATGGACGCACGTACGCACGCACACACGCACGCACGCACACACGCGCGCGCGCACACACGCGCACTTAGGGAGTATTAATCTAGGAGGTCATGTCGAAATATGTGAGGCTGTAATATGTGAGGCTTATAAAATGGGAGTGTTGTTTGGGTGCATTACTCTGGACAAAGAGAGGGGCGTGTAAGATCGAGAGAGAGAGAGAGAGAGAGAGAGAGAGAGAGAGAGAGAGAGAGAAGCGGACGGGAGGGAGAGAGTATGTGGGGAACTCGAGAAGTGCAAACATGACTGCGTTTCGCTTCAATCGTTATAAATAAATGTTATGAGAACGCATGTTTGTGGTAAATTGGATGCCGCTTACACAATGCGATAAAATCACTATGTAGTCTCTCAGGTGGACAAGGAAAATAAGGTCTACTCTAAGGCCATGCAGGAGAGATAGAGTGCATCTCCACAGCACAGCGCGCAGGGATCAATAAATTTATCTATAGAGAAGGATTGAACAACTCTGGTCAAATTGCACGCGATTGTGCGAGCAGGCGGGGGGTTTATTCCATATTTCTAACGAATACTGCGATTACAGCAGGTGAAAGAGTTGCGTAATAAAAATCCTTCGCGGCGCGTCTGACGACTGCGAGTTAGTTTGGAATAATATATAACGTAAAATTGTGATCAGCGCGGAGGTGGATAGATTGACCGGGACTGCGACGGATGCGGTGTACGTTGCTGAGGCTGAGCGGCGCAACTGCTGCGCCATGGGCCGCCTTGTCGGTTCCGCACCATTTTGCCTGCGAACGCTGCGCTGGGAAGCCGAGGTCTCAAGTTCACGACGGCGATGCTGCCGGGAGAGTGGCGCGGTCTATTTTCGATGAGCAAATGAAATTTGAAACATTTTTCCGACGGGGCCCCGCGTGAAAAAAGCTGCGCGCCCCATGCACGGGAGCGTGCGCGCGCGCGCTCGGCACGAGTTCGCACTCTCGTCTCCGTCTGAATCTCTCTCGTGTGTGCGTCTGTGTGAGTGCGACACGAAACAGCGCGTGCACGCCAGAGTGGTGCAATTTCATGTAGTGGCTATTTCGCTATCGCGCGTAGTTCGCTTACAGATCGAGACATACTGTGTCGCCGATCGATTTTTCCGCGTCTCTATCAAACTATCTAGAACCGGGCCCGTCTGTCTGCATGGTCGCCACGGGGAACGAGCGGCTTTTCTACGCGCTTGCAAGTTATCAAGTTGTACTAAGCGTTCTGAAGAGTGACAGACATGATGAGGCGCTGACAGTGTGTTTGCATATAGTGCTCAGGTCGGCGGACGAATTTTAATGTGCTTCACATCTCAAGCAGACGGAACAGCAGAGTTTTCTTTTCAGTTTATTGTTACTTCGAATCGATATGTACGCGGGCCAGTAAGTTTATATAGTTGGCATTAGTATTGTTACGGAATTGCGTATGTTCTGGATGATAATGAGAAGGCTTTCACGAATTTACTTGCACCTCGAGCGAGAATTTGTATTCACTATTCATTGCCTGTCAGCGATTAGTTCGATATTGAAAACGTCGGTCGTAGATATGGTTACGCGGTTATGAAGCTATGCAATTCAAGTGTATGATAGAGGATGATGGAAGTTTGATTATATTTCTAATGCTTTACATATCACAGAGGTTTGTGGGAAGTTTAGAAGTGATGCTATTCAGTTTTTGCGTTTATTAAAAGCAACAAAGAATAATTTCTTCGATGTTTTTGTAATCAGCTCGTAAGAATTGCAAGAGAAATATATTCATTATGTTTAATACGGTCGACTATAAATACAGCAGTATTTATAAAACTGTGTCAGCGAGTACAATATAAAAATCTGATGTCTCTACCGGTGACAACTTTCGATGGCTCATAAAGTTCAATACAATCTTTGCTTCGGTTTCAGAATACCAACAGCATGGAAAGGAAGCACCCCAACTGGAGGTGGGGGAGGAGGGGGAGGGTTAATGAAGACAAGCTTCACAGGAAAGTCCAGCTCTGGCGTGAGCTCAGCCTCCTCCTACAGTAGCGAGTGCGACAGCAGGATGTTTGGTGAGTACATGCACACAATAACATGTAAGCATTAGTTCGACACATTACAGTATACTCAGCATTCAACTCTCCTATATAGGCCTACATGCACTAACACGTGAATGTGCAGACGTGTTCGGAACCGCGTGCTGCATGGACGCGATCATGTGAACACATTCTTGGAAATGTATGCGCATATTGATGTACCCAATCCCGTATTATCCGTACATTATTCTTTCAGTTAATCACATAGTGCCATTGATCTATAATGCATATATGCCTGCATGTTACCTCACATGTGCGTGCCCCATTTCGTTTGCTTCGCGATCAGTAATACCATTGCTAATACTTGCTGGGCTTTGTGTTGTCATCTGTGGCTGTAAGTGTGACAAGGTCGTGACCTCGGGCGGGCTGTTATGTAGAGTGGTTGCGTGTGCTCATGTATATGTGCGTGCGTGCGTGCGTGCGTGTGTGGTGTGTGCGCGCGTACACGTATGCGTGTGTGCGCGTGTGCATGTGCGCGTGTTCGCGCTTATGTACGTGCGTGCGCTCTTCTGCGCGCGCGGGCGCGTGTCTGTTACCTGTCACCTGTCACCTGTTATGGTTGAGAGAGTTCGCTTTTATTGATGAGTGAGTACATTGTGAGAGGAGCGATTACATGGGTAAACTGTTGCCACCAGCCTGCATGTCTTTGTTAGTCGAGATGCTTAACAATAACAACGACGACGACTACGACGACTGCAACAACAGCAACATCACTGTTATTAGTATTATCAAGAGCTAATAATACCTTATTAAGAGGTACCTTAAGGTTACCTTAATAAGACTCAAGAGGTATTATTAGCTATTGGTATTATTGTTATTATTATTATTATTATTTCCAAAGTGGATCACGAAATTAGCCGATGGCTTCTTGGTTGGCCGTGTCCCAACCTGGGACATAGGGATTCAATCCAGAATTTTTTGCAGGATGTGTGTTGTTCCCAGTAGTGCGATTTTCTGCACTTCTTGGGCAGTGTGGTGGCCAATTATTATTATTATTATTATTATCGCCAGCGTCATCATCATTATTGGCAGCATCATGGTTGTGCTTATTGCATGCATGCGATTGAGAGTCTTCTAGCACCCCATTCACATATTACATCTCTACAGTACCGATGCCACGACATTAATATGTGCTTGCCGTATTGCTTTCTATTGAGTTGAAGCTGATCTACCGGCGCCAGCTTGTTAAATATTCACGAGGAATAATCAACCCTGTCGATCTCACCGGTTGGCGTCATGGCCCAGCATAGATCGCTATAGCACGCTGCCTTTCCTCTCGAAAAATCGTAAATGCAGTCGATTCGACTGGTTGACGAATTTAATGGGATACGGCATTTGCGAAACTCAATCGAAATTGTTTGATACCATGTTATCAGCGCGATCGCGGGGGTTTTCGTCCTCGCTTACTGGTTTAGTTTATGCTTTAGTTATGCTTTAGTTACTGATTTAGTTTATGCTGTAGCCGCGCTCCGTCTTTGGTAATGACTTGTGATTTGCGTGGCAGTCACGAAGGCAAGGGGCCGCTTTCGCAAATATCTCGGCAAATTTCAGTCGCTTTTAACCTATTTGCTGCGTGCGTACAACGTAGAAGGTTTCGTTTCGAGTCATGTCCTCGTTGCGTGTGACAGTTACGTACGTGTACCCGCTGATTTCTATGAGGAAATGCGGACAAACGTAGCATGTTTTTGTCGTCTGAGCGTCTCTGAGGGCGGGCGTCTTGTAAATCTTGCCTTAACCGTTACCTCTCGGTTCCACCCAACGCTGGCATGGATCAACGCACGCAATGCAATCACGCACGCGACAGGTATACGTCACAGGTACGCGGGCGCCTGTTTATATAAATAAATAAATATATATATATATATAAATATATATATATATATATATATATCCAATATGAATCCCAAAATGCAATTTGCTAGGTACGATTGCCGAATTTAACGACTGAGCCCCACGCAGAGCGGCGTATGTCTGGTCCGTATATTCCCCCCAAAGATGGCGTGATTGGCACGGTCGGAAATTCGGAATCGCGGACAGCTGTTTTTGCGGGTGTTGCTTGCTGGGTGCGTGGCGCGCGTTCGTGTATCCGCGGGCTTGGGGGCTGGTAGGTAAGTGGCTGGTGTGCGTCTGTAGCCACTCTATTTCCCCTTCCGTCTCCCCTTCCGTCTCCCGCCACCACGAAGGGGAGGATTTCGGGAATCGGAAATTCGTGATCGGGCAGGTGCTTGCGCGTGGGAGCTGCTGCTAGTGGCAGCCACGCGCGGTAAGTGTGCCGCGGCCAATTCGGTGATTAGTGCGCGAGCGTGCGTAGCAGCGGCGCGGGAGCGGCCCCGCGCGCGCGATGTCTCTTTGTGCGCGCTTCTTTGACGATGATGGGCGCCGACGCGCTGCTTTTTACAGCCGTGGAGTGGATTTCCTCTTTACTGCAACCGCCGCTCCGTAAGCCGATCGGCGCTCTGTCTGTCCCTGTTTACACCCGAATGGCTCCGCGTCCAGTACTGAGCGTGCGACCGTATACGGGGGGACCCCTTTTTTATGATTTTATTTTTAAAACAACGCTTATCTTTACGCATCGTTCGGTGGTTTATGAGAGAGCGTCAGCGCGAACGCACGCGGGATGGCAGCGCCGTGCTGCGTGTGTTATCGGGGGGGGGGGGTGACCAAATTTGTCGTTATTCACCCCTGTTGGTTGTATTGTTATCAAGTTCTTGGTGTCAAGATAGAGTGTGCGATTGGGGTTCCGCTTCAAACTTTGGTCTTACAGACACGCGCACGCACGCACGCACGCACACACACCACACACACGCACGCACGCACGCGCACACACACATAAATTAGCCGAAAATTGTGTGCTCACGTTTATAATTCTATCTATACTAACATACATCATTTGCATGGCCGTTGCCAGTAAGTGGCGGGCTTGCTATTCAAAAGCCAACTGCGATAGAGAAAACTAACCGTCCGCGTAATGTCTGCTTAAATTTACCCTTCATAATTCCTAACATCCTGGTGACATATGCATCTTGCTAGCTTAGTCAATCGTTTCCCGAGGTAGCACTATAGGTGCATTCTACACAAGTAGGCATGAAACCTCAAAGTAATCAGCATAACCTTTCCTCCGTAAACATTGTACCTGATAATATTCGATGCTGAAGAGGCAGCTGTATATATGCGGTTGAGTGCACGTCAGACCTCTGGCGACTGCTACTACCGCCGGCTAATGAAACCCAACTTAGCGTATCTGGGTTTCATCTGTATAGACTACGACACCGGCGCCTACTCGGCCCTTTGTTTTCGAACTGCGGGGATTTGGCTTACGGTTGTTTTGAGCCACTCTGCAATCGATATCTAGCCGAGCGCGTATACATGCACATTGTAACAAATGCGCAGGCAATGAGAAGGATCAGTTCCGGGACAAGTGTAGCGAGGCCTATTTGTAGCGAAACTTTGTACGTACGCACTAGGGTTCATGTAGCGGATCGGCGAGGCGGGAGAGAGACGGCTGTGTCACATAACGCATCAGTATACAGAAGATACACATGTGCCGTAACAAATACGGGAGGCGTGGCCGCATGGGAGCAAGAGGGGGCGGGCACACGCTCCTTGTCGGCTTATTATGCGAGCAAAGTCGAGCCTTTTTTTGACCAGTCGAAGCGTGTGCAAGGGGTGGGGTTATAATGTGGGGGGGGGGACCTTGCACCTGTTATTGAGCTGTGTTAGTGCTGCATATATGTGACAGACAGACAGACAGTAAGCTGATAATCTCGCGCGAAAGTTCACAAAGTGTGCTAATTAAAATTTAGTCACCTCAATTTAGGTTGACGCGTCTTGTGTAATGAGTAAGGTAATATTGGAATTTCCTGTGGCACATTTCTGTGTGTGATGGTAAAATGAAGCCGTCAATCTTCTACACCTGGTCAATTGCCAGGTCATGGGCTATAGGAGCAGCTGCATGTAAATTAAAAAAAAGTGTTGGGAGTCATTTTAATTGGGCAACTTAGCACAAAATATATATGTGTCAACGCTTTTGCCATAAAAACTTTTTATTGGTGGTTGAAAAATGAAAGTTACTAGTGGTTTGAACATTTTCTGTACAAATAGGTGCGTGTAGTTTTCTTGGAAGGGTAAATAGGAGTATTGATTCATCACATTATTAGAGTGGTATACGTAGTCAGACCAGCTGCTACATCTTCCAGCCACCGAAACAATTCATATTCGCGTTGATTGACCCGTGCTCAGTCATATACAGACGGTCCAGTGCGAGTCAAATGACCATGGCGTAGACTAACAGCTTGCCTCAGGGGGAGTCCAGTGGGAGCATGCCTCGTGGGGGCACTCCGTTCCTCCTTTCCCACGTACGCCACACGTCTACAGTAGAGATATGCCCTGCACAGTCGCTCCGTGTATCCTCTGCCTACAGGGCATACTTTACCTTGGTTTAATCATTACACGGCATTACGTCATTATATAGCGTGTAACATCGTGAGAATGCACGCCTGCGATGGCTGACCTATAACAGCATTGATGTCAGTATGGATTTCCGTGACCAGGAGCCGACCGGCCGTCGGCTGATGAGTGTTGATCTGTTTACTAATTAGCGCGTCTATGCGAGCCTGCGCCGCGTAGTAAACAGTTGGTCTGCACACGCGCGAGAGCGTGGTGTGCGCGCAGCAGCGTGATACAGCACGATGTTTATGATGTGCTGTATCATCTCCCCTCCTCCCCCCAGACTGTCGTAATTGACAACGGACCGACCACGCGTTCCATCAGAAACTACGCGGTCGCGGGAATCGTGGAGCCCGCATGCGGCGCCGTCTGATTGAGTGAATAGGACGGGACCGTCCGGGATCTCGGTGCGCCACCGTCGGGCCGTTATTACAGGCGTCGTGTCGCGCAGCATTGTGCTGCCGTCGTCAGCGGCCGCGGCTGATTCAGTTACGGGCTCGTAAAACGTCGTTGCTGAAAGGTAGCAGCTA